AGCCTACGAACGTTTCAGCCCTAACTCATATATATAGCTGTGAAACTTTTTGAATAAATAAACGTGGGTATTTTAAAATTAATTACCTAAGTGCTAAATTTATATCAATGGTCGCCATAATTAGCAAACCGCTGATAGTCACACACGGTTTTAACGAATCCGGATACGAGTCTAATCGATTTGCGGTTATCCGGTCATTATCCGGTCTATCCGGCCCCAATACGCGGTGTGACCGACTGTGGTTTTTACTGCAGTAACTTTACTAGACGTTGCAATGATTACATGAAACCTTAGTCCTCTGGTACTTTTTAATTTAAATGTAATTGTATGAAAAGGTCTTATGTTCTTTTCGTGACTTTGAAACTACCTCTTTTCTGCATACAACGTAGCTATACTGACTAAAATGGGAGTATATGGGCTGTGGTCACTGCGGCTGGCCCGTAGGCTCGTTTCCCCCCTATAAAAAAGTAAATAAATAAACGTTTAAAAAATAATAAACTCCTTCTTTTGTGAAATTATGGTTTTATTTTGTGGGGTAATGCAGCAGATATTCAATCGATATTTGTAGTGCAAAAGCAGGTTTAAGAGCGATCTGCGAATTATCCCCACGGAAGTCAGTACAAAGGAAGTTTAAAGAATTACATATTTTGACTTTGGCAAGTACATTACAAGAATATTTTGTATGTGCAGAAAAGTAATAGATATCTTTAAAAAGAATAGTAGCTTTCATAATTATAGAATTCGTAATAAAGAGAAAATTAGCCCACCAAGCAATTTTATAAGTGTTTTCAACAAAATCCCTAGTGATATACAAATGTTCTCAATAAATAAATTTAAATCGTATCTTAAAGTAAGCTGCTTGCTAAGGTCTATTTTAATACAAATACATATTATATAAAAGTCTCTCTCACACTGTTTGAAACGAAACTTATTCGAGCGTTTCCGCTTGACCGATTTTTATGTATTTTTGTATATTCCGTAGTTCTCAATAGTTGGTAGTTTTGTATACTAAGTAACAAGTGTGGCCAGACCCCTTTTTTATTTGGATTTTAATACCAATAGTACCGTAGTTATTATTAATAGCAAAACAACGTTATGTTCGTTTTGTAAATATCAAATGAGCGGGGCTTTCTTTACGCTTGATATTATTCAAGCTATGGACTAAACTATCTTCAAAACTACTTCGATCTGTAATGTGAGAAACAGCATCTGCAACACAACTGAAGAAACCCATTAAGCAGTCGTTAATTTTTAGTGGCAAGAACATTAATTGTTTAGTGCTTGCTTAACTTGCGCCAGTGGTATCATTAGCCCCGGCCTAGATGTTCAAAACTGCACTCGATTTCACACAATAGGGATGTGTGGGATGTCGATAGATTTTATTCCACAGTACACGCAATTTTCTTGACTTGGCTCTCGGCTTTTCAAAGATCTAACATCAAGGAAATTCTTAAAACAACTTAGAATTAAAGTGAGAAAAAATATTATAATTAAACTCTAAACATGGTAATTTTAGATTATGTTAGAACAAAAAAGTTAAAAAGACGTTATAACTTCTCTTCAATTTAATACAGAATTTTAAAAATATACGAAACGGGGCAGCATAGCCTCCTAGCCATTAAGATTTACATTAGTTCATTACATTACAGTCAAAATCTGTTATAACGACAAGGGACTACTCATATTTGGTCGACAGTCGTTACAGCTGATGACGTTATTAAGAACCTAATACAATAGAATTCAGCCGGGACCTTTGGTTTTGGTCAATATAACCGGTATGTTGTTCTAAACGATGTCGTCGTAAACGGTTATCACTATAGCTAAAAGAATATTTCAAATAAGTATAGCACTCATTCTAACGCGTTCGCGTCAATCTATATGCTTATATGATTAGATTATATTATTTTGTATAGACTTTTTGTCTATGTGCGCATTTAGGGAAACATCATGAAAAAACCGGTATGCCTTAGAAACAAAAAGTCGACGGCGTTTGTCAAGCACACAAGACTACTTGTCTATTAGACAAAACAGATACACAAATCTGAGGTCCAGACCTTAAAGGTTGTAGTGCCAGTTTTTTTCTAGGTATCTGTTTAGCGGACCAGTGTAAAGTAACAATAAAAAGTGTTGTAACTATTGTTCTAGTCTCCGCGTTGCACATTTTAAAGTACTAAAAATGAATATAATCCCAACACTAGATAATTTATAGTTTGTCTACAATAACGGGCGCTAGGTGGCGCATTAAAGCACCCCTATCGAGGAAGGAATATATGAGCACATTAGTATACCTTATAATTTATGTTATTATTCTACCGCATTCTTACTGAAAGCCTTATTGGAAATTAAATAGTAAGGCATTAATCAAATACCTAAGACATATAAGTGTCTTTAATCATTTTCCTTTATTAGTTCCTGATAAAACTTTAACCTTCGAAGCAACATAATTTTACTTGGAGTCTAAATTAAGTTCAGAATTCTCTAAAACAGTTTTTGCCTATTGCATAAAGAATGGTAGCCCTTTATTTTAAAACATAAAACGGAAATAAATTTTAACAAAATTATATCTTAAACAGTATTAAAGTGTCAAGACACTTTTGTTATAGTTATACTTTTTTTTTTTAAAGACAATTCACACCAATTGACCGAGTCCCATGCTAAGCTGGTGAAGCTTGTGTTATGGGTACTAGGCAACGGATATACATACATAGATAGATAGACATATAAATACATATTTAAACACCCAAGACCTAAGCACAACACCAAATGCTCATCACATCGATGTTCGTCTCAGCCGGGGATCGAACCCGGGACCCATGGATTCGCAGTCAGGGGTACTAACCACTAGACCAATGAGTCGTCAAATACTTACCATGAACTTACCTTTATTCCGGGCAGTATGTACTTTCTTCACGAAATATAAAAATGTTTAAATCTATTATAATCTCAAAGCATAACTATTAAATACGCTACTTGTGTCTTACTTATGTATGTGTTTATTACTAGAGTTTTTTGTTAGAAATGTAAAAACGTTGTAATCTTTTATAATCTCAAAGCATAAGTGTCAAAATAATACATGTCTATGAGTTTATTACTGGCTTCTTTTGACAGAAATATAAAAACGTAATCTATTATAATCTCAAATCATAACTGTCAAATACGCTACTAGTGTCATTACTCATTACTAAAGGATAACTGTCAAAATAATACTTATTTATTAGTTTACTAGCTGACCTGGCAAACGTCGTTTTGCCATGTATATCATTTATAATAAAAAAATTAGGGTTGATTGTAGAGGGGTGAAAATTAGGGGTTGTATGTATATTTTAATGCTGTATCATAAAAAAAATTAAAATTGAAAATTTTAGGGGGATGAAAAATAGATGTTGTCCGATTCACAGACATACCCAATATGCACACAAAATTTCATGAGAATCGGTCAAGCCGTTTTCGACGAGTTTAACTACAAACACCGCGACACGAGAATTTTATATATTAGATTACTGGCTTCTTTTGACAGAAGATTCGAGTTGCAGGATAAATTAATTTCGCAGACATAGATTTAACTAAACCAAAACACGAAGGCGTGTAATTTAACGTATCAATATCTAAACTGAATAACGAACTCGTCTGTCCGTTTGCGGCTTGAGCTCACTTCTTGGATTACTATGAGTTTTCGATACGTACGTTTGTATGTGATGAGAAAACGATATAAATAATATTTTTCTATTGATGGAAGAAAATTTCACTTGTATTTATATTTTGTGTATGTGATATATTGTTAGTAAACGCTTCCAAAACTCTTAGGACCAACTTTTCGTCAAGTTTACTACGCGAATACTTATGAAGACTGTTGTAATTTGAATTCCTAATCCATTCATGCTCAAGGTAGGTACTGTGTTTACAAAAGCTTTGCCGTATTATTTGCAACTTAAATTTATGCAGCTTTAGTACTTTTTCAATTGACGTTTTCGTTAGTTCAATTTCCAATAAAGAAAGTTATTAGGTTAGTGTTATTTTTTTTAATTTTACGTTACTTATAAGCAACCAACTGATAAAATTTTACTGAAATACTAAGCTCTACCAGAATATACGAAAAACTGCCCTGCGATTCTGTAACTCACTTTTCGAGCTCACACAGCGGTTTTTGCAGCGGCGGTCGCGCTATAAACAAATCAAGTCGAGGATTATCAAAGCTAATCGTAAAATGTTGTTTACGACTATTTAAGCGCGACCGCCGCTGCGAAAACCGCTGTGTGAGCTCGAAAAGTGAGTTACAGAATCGCAAGGCTGAACTTTAAAAATACGCATGCACGAAAAAGCATGACTCGTTGTCCCGTTACGCTCATTGTACACTTGTGCCGCATCTATTTCACTTCAACTCGATTGGCATATGCGTCCGTGGATTCACTCCTTCTTTGTATCCATACAAAATAGTTATATATATTGATACTTCAAAAAAATTATTCAATTAAATTCATAAAAGTATGCCATCAATTCATCAATGTTTCGTTATAACGTCACGTGAAACTATCGTCCGTATACCAACTTTACAGACAACCATGTTTTTGTAGAAGAATTACAACATCGATTTAAGATGCTGTATGGTTATTACCATCTGCATTACAGATGATATGAGGTTTCGTAATCATATCCGAAGTTTTAATTAATATTACTAAAATTATAGTAGTAGGGGTAACCTAACATTCCTAGAGTAAGGATCGACCTCATTAGTGAACGTCCCGAACTCAAATTGAATGAATAAATGGCATTTTCGAGGTACAAATATTTCAATGATCCCTCCTAACTAGGGGTAAAACCAGAGATTGTGTTGATTACGAAACTTTTGCAATTGCACATTCCCTTACAAATTAGGAGTAAGAAACCTTTATTTTCTGAAAGCATATAAATAAGATCTTTATAACAAAACACTTGTACAAAATATGACACACTAATTGTCTTTTAGTTAGACTTAAATTGTATGGTTACAAGCTTGGGTCGGGATGAGAAATGAAGCTAAGGTGTATGGAATTCGTTTAATTATATTAAGAGGCACTTTATCGGTCCCGGACGATTTTCCCTTCAGGTTAACCGTCTTCATCCGGTGACACCTCACTCGTCTGGCCAGCTTGTAGGTCTGGGCCTGGGAACTACGCCTACACACGCTCGCTGCTACTGCCTCTCCATCAAGGACTTCGCCGTCTTCCTTCTGGGTGCACTCTGCTCGCACTTCGCGGAGCTTGAGCCCTTAGTCTCCAGCTCGTTGCGTGGTTAATTTGAGACTAAATATTTGTGTGGAATAATTAGTTTTTAAGTTAAGTTTTTAAAATACTAGTAGAACAAAAAGTTTTTAAATTAGACCCATAGTACCGTGCGTATGTTTAATGTATTTAATTTTCCGAGCAATATCTAATATATAAAATTCTCGTGTCACAGTTTTCGTTGCCATACTCCTCCAAAACGGCTCGACCGATTCTCATGAAATTTTGTGTGCATGGTATGTCTGAGAATCGGACAACATCTATTTTTCATCCCCCTAAATGTTAAGGGTAAGTCCACCCCTAAATATTTTTTTTTAATTTTTAGATATTTTTTTCTGTTTTTATTTTTTTATGATACAGCATTAAAAAATACATACAAACCCCTAACTTTCATCCCTCTACGATCAACCCCTATTTTTTTATTATAAATGATATATATGGCAAAACGACGTTTGCCCGGTCAGCTAGTTTTTCATAAAAAGAACAAAATAGCAGCTAAATTTTTATTCAAAAAGTTTTAGTTTGCGTTGCCAGCGTCTACTAGACATGCGAAGAGGATCTTAAATGCATTTTAAAAATTCTGTGACATAAAAAACTTGCTACCATAACTGTGTCCACACAATACCTATTCTTAATATAACTCGAAGGGTCACACAGGGTCGATGCTTTAAATCAATTTCGTAATGCTTTTAACATTTCCCGGCCATATAAAATTTTCCACAAGTCCCTGTTGACAAATCACCCCATCGTTTCTACTCACTTTGCGTTATGGAGTTGCGTAATGCGAGCAATGATTCAAAGTGACATAAACTTGGTGCTGGTTAAAATATTCTTAAGATTTTCAAATATTGCTATTTTATTTCCTACGGAGTGGGAAATGCCAGAAAACGCACTCAATGTGAAGGTACGCGTAGGTATATTTGAAATGTGAATCAATTTCTATTAGCTCGCGGATTTTTCTATTTTCTATAGAATTAGGTTAGGTTAAGGTTTCGATCAGAGCAGTGTTAGGAAAGCGGATGCAGCGTGCGACTCTCATCCCTGAGGTCGTAGATTCGATCCTGGTTGTGCACCAATGGCCTTTCTGCCTATGTGCGCATGTAACACACACATTTGCGCTTGAACTGTAAAGGAAAATATCGTGAGGAAATAAGGCTTACCTTAGAGCCAAAAAGTCGGCGGTGTGGCAGGTACAGGTAATCACAGTGACAGATACAGTAATCTGAGGCCCAGAACTAAAAAAGTTGTAGCACCAATACTATGGATAGTATATTAACGTGGTGAGCAGACGTTTCTGCGTCTTTACATTGATAGATTTCCTAGTTCTGCCTTTCAAGCGAAACGTATCGCTGGAAATTAACTAAGCACGGGTTGAAAGCATTGTATAACTCAAACGCTTGACTATGGTTTAAACGTTAAAATGAACGAAACAATTAACTTCTGTTTCGTAACTACTTAATTTAAAAAAATACCAAGCTACTTCTTCTTTTATTAACTAGAAGTAATATATATTTTAGCTGTTATCCTTTTATACTATTATTTTGTGAAAACGTATAAATAAGCATAGCTATGTTTGAACAGGGATATAGTTTGCAATTCGTACCTTAAGTCAATTTCAGTTCAAATTAATTTTAGGCAATGGTTGCGTTCTTACCAGCTTCCTTGTTAACCAAGAACCTTTTAATCGCAAATAAAAAGAGTGGAGGAATCTTTCTTGCCAGTTCCTCTCGCCTGCTCTACGCCCTTGATTTCGTAACAAGTTGTACATGTAAATTTGGACCTTCCATTGTTTTTTATTAACTGTCATTAGTAGACTTAGAAGTACCAATATGAATAAATGAAATTTTATTTGATAATTTTTACAGAGGTATGATTACATTGTACATTAATCATTACTTTACACTACACCATAACTCTCCGTCGAAGCATAAAAAACACCAGACGTGTTTCCCGGATTCGAATACCCAGCAATCGCAACCTCGTTTCCCGAACATTTACCATTCTTAAAATCCTTATATGAATTACAGGCCCAAGACAAAAATGAACCGGGATGGCTCACCGTATACGTCCAATACTTGACACATGCTTTATGGCTACATCTTGCTGCATCAGACTCACCGTATCCAGGTATTAGACCGACAGTACAATGCGGTTGAACTCTCCCATCATTCAAGAAGAAATCTACATCAGCTAGAACACTCGTTGTCCCTAAACCACCTGCATTACAATGAAATACTTCAACGTAATCGGCCGCACCTGAATGAAGCTGCTCCTCTATCAAGCTATTTGAGAAGCAAGGGCCAGCTGGATCGATTCCTGTTATTCTTCGAACTCTTTCTGAAGTCCTTTCAAAGTAAGTCGCTCCTGCGTATCCTAAGATGTGACTGCCTAGACTGTGTCCAATACAGTGAATATTTTGAGATGGAAAACCTAATTCACGAAGTTCTGCAAGGAGTCTTCCAATCTCCTTGCCAAGATAGTACGAGTAGTTCACAGAACGTTCGTAGCTTTTTCTGTTTCCTCCTCTCGATGAGGTGTAAAAGGAGTGGTCAATAATAATAAGGTAAATGTTTGGGATGTCCTTGAAAACCTGTCGTATTAATTCTGGCGCGTTCTTGCTGATGTGAGATTTATATCCGGGCACGAAAAATTTAATTTCTCGTGTTGTGTCTAAGTTATAGAAGTTAGTGATTGCGCCAGCAGCATTATTAATTTCATGGCTAACATTGAAGTTGTTTGCGAAGTCGTAGAAGTATACTTCTGTTTCGCTTACATCTAAATTTGCTGTTTTACTGTGGTTACCTGTGTACAAATGGGTATACATAAATATAGCAAAGCAAAGTAGCTAAGATTACCATTATGTTAAATCAAGAATACTTTGTTTGATGTACAGTAACCACTCAATGAGACATCAGCTTGACACATTTATATTTGCTTTTTACGTCATCAATAAATTTTTAACCACTAAGTCACGCGGAAAATGATACATCTTGTATGATTGATTGTAAAATTTGAAGTCTTAGTTTTATGAAATTATTACGCGCAGGTTTTTTATTTGTAAATACCTAAGTAGTCCAGCCATAATTTCTGTTACAAATGAAAAAGTACTTTTTTTAAATAAAGTAATGTAATATTATAAAAATTTATACCTATTAGTCTAGTCGACAAGTTGAAAATGGTACAAAATAGAGATACTGCTCTTAAAATTATGTGCGATAGCTCATTGGATCCGGAATGACGTCTAGAAAAATGTGCCAAAAGCGTGTATTAGCACATAAAAAATTGCAAAAGTTATACACAATTAAAGATGAAAAAAAATGGCATTTCGTTTTCTGCCAATATTTAATAAACTATTAATATTTAAGAAATTTAAAAACAAGATTCTGAAAGAAGAGGAAATTTCCAATAAAAATATGCAATAAAAAAATTCCCGGAACTCTATTTCCATTATTTATAATTTTAATTTAACGCTGAAAATAGGTCTGCGCGTGACATTTTTAGGATGCGCGCGTGGCGTCAAAAGCGAGTACGGCACATTAATTAATTTATTTAAGGTATTGAATATTTTTTTTAAATTTGAAAAAATTATGGTGTGTTCTGAACACTATAATTAATTTATTCCCGTAGGAAATTTTAATTAAAGTTAATTTTTTAACGAAATTTTACAATCGTTAACTAACGAAATCTTCGAACTGTAAGTGAAAAAAAATGTTTAAATAATGGTCGTAAAAATTTTTCGCTTCGTAGAGCCTTTCTTACATACATACTTAACAAGATCGTGCCATAAAAGTTTAAAAAAAATATTTATACTTTGTTTATAACAATTTTTTACTTTAACAAAATCTAAAAAATCCAAGTAATGTTGTTAAAGTAAAAAAATTTTTACCATTTTCAACTCTTCGACTAGACTATATATATATTTATTAGTCTCAGCAAAAAATATAAAAAAATATTCTATTCGAAATGGCCACCTTTGGCAATCTTTTGTTTCCAAGGGAAATTTGGCCACTGCATGCTTCAATAATTTTTTAAAAGTCTCAATGTCGCCGTGTCCTTTAGAGCAGGCCATGTCCTCTAAAACTGAATACAGGTCTTGTTTTACAATACGCGACAGAGTCCTAGCGCGAATCTTTATTTCTCGCGATAAGATTTTTTGCTTCCTTGGTTTTTTGTTTCAACAAATTCTGACTTTAACAGCATTAACAGTCTTTATAGTTCTAAAAGCACGCGGCCGCCCCGATCTTTTCTGTTATTCGACAAACGATTTGTTGTTGTATCTGTTGATATAGGAACATACGGCTGATACCAAGCTTTTGAAATGTCTGGAATATGACCGACGGCTCCACTTTGTGCAAATCGATCACTGCAATCCTATTTTCATTGACACCCCATTCCATAATGTAATTTGATAATGAACACGAAAAAATATGTGAAATGGCACAAAATCGAAAGAAGTTTTTAAAATAGTATAACGTGTTCCAAATTCAAAATAATTAAAAAGCTGAAAAAATCAAAAGTTTTTATGTAACATAGTATTTATGGCCAGACTAGTTGTAATTATTATATTTATATACAAATTAGAATAGCAATAGAAGTCTTACTGAAATACTTATAATTGGAATTTGAGTTTTTAAGACACTATAAACACTTACAATTAATCCAATGTGAGTACAACAAATTCTTGAATGGTCCATATTCTGACTGCCAATTTGCGTAACTACTAACTATGCACGTGCAAATAAAAAATATAAATATTTCCATCTGATGTATTCGTGTCAATGGTCAAACGATAAGTGAACTGACTGCTCTTACGTATTTCATATCGGTATCCTAAGTATTTGCTTATATTTATTGCGTTTTCCTGTTTGTTTTAAATATGATATTAGGTCAGTATTGTCTCCCTTAGTTTCTTTAAAGCGTCCGATTTCCGTCATAAAGCTTCAAATATTCTACGTTATGATTTTTGATCACTTGTATGCAAAGAATAAATGTGGTAGCAGTACCAATTTCCATAAAAGTTTTTGAAGTGAAACTGAAAAGGGTAAGTGGTTTTTTTAAGGATGAAACGGCAATAATAATAAATTAGCGTTTCTCGAAGAGAAAGGGAGAAGAGCGATTGAGACCGATTGAGAGAGGAGAAGGGCGAATTACCCTATAGAATTTCTATTTTTAAAATTACAATTTCGCAAAGAGAATTTATGAAATATTAATATTTTATTTGAAATCTCAAATGACGTGTTTTTATTATCGAAGAAATAAATTTTAAAAATATATAATTTGTATTAATTTTCGACATTTTTAATATTTTTATGACAACTAAATTCATTAAATTCCTAACATATCTTCCTTTTTCCCTCCCTCTATGTCTCGGAAATCTAAAGTTTTAGATTTGTATAAACATGAACAAGACTTAAAAATTAGTTTGAGAAAGAAGTTTCACTTTTGACATGTGTACTAAATAAAAAAAAAAAAAAAAAAAAAAAAAAAAAAAAAAAAAAAAGGGGGGGGGGGGGGGGGGGGGGGGGGGGGGGGGGGGGGGGGGGGGGGGGGGGGGGGGGGGGGGGGGGGGGGGGGGGGGGGGGGGGGGGGGGGGGGGGGAAAGGGGGGGGGGGGGGGGGGGGGGGGGGGGGGGGGGGGGGGGGGGGGGGGGGGGGGGAGGGGGAAAGAGAAAAAAAAAAAAAAAAAAAAAAAAAAAGGGGGAAGAAAGGGGGGGGAGAAGGGGGAAAAAAAAAAAAGGGAAAAAAGAGGGGGGGGGGGGGGGGGGGGGGGGGGGGGGGGGGGGGGGGGGGGGGGGGGGGGGGGGGGGGGCGGCCCGGGCGGGGGGGGGGGGGGGGGGCGCGGGGGGGGGGGGGGGGGGGGGGGGGGGGGGGGGGGGGGGGGGGGGGGGGGGGGGCGGGGGGGGGGGGGGGGGGGGGGGGGGGGGGGGGGGGGGGGGGGGGGGCCCCCCCCCCCCCCCCCCCCCCCAAAAAAAAAAGAGGGGGGGGGGGGGGGGGGGGGGGGGGGGGGGGGGGGGGGGGGGGGGGGGGGGGGGGGGGGGGGGGGGGGGGGGGGGGGGGGGGAAAAAAGGGGGGGGGGGGGGGGGGGGGGGGGGGGGGGGGGGGGGGGGGGGGGGGGGGGGGGGGGGGGGGGGGGGGGGGGGGGGGGGGGGGGGGGGGGGGGGGGGGGGGGGGGGGGGGGGGGGGGGGGGGGGGGGGGGGGGGGGGGGGGGGGGGGGGGGGGGGGGGGGGGGGGGGGGGGGGGGGGGGGGGGGGGGGGGGGGGGGGGGGGGGGGGGGGGCCCGGGGGGGGGGGGGGGGGGGGGGGGGGGGGGGGGGGGGGGGGGGGGGGGGGGGGGGGGGGGGGGGGGGGGGGGGGGGGGGGGGGGGGGGGGGGGGGAGGGGGGGGGGGGGGGGGGGGGGGGGGGGGGGCGGGGGGGGGGGGGGGGGGGGGGGGGGGGGGGGGGGGGGGGGGGGGGGGGGGGGGGGGGGGGGGGGGGGGGGGGGGGGGGGGGGGGGGGGGGGGGGGGGGGGGGGGGGGGGGGGGGGGCGGGGGGGGGGGGGGGGGGGGGGGGGGGGGGGGGGGGGGGGGGGGGGGGGGGGGGGGGGGGGGGGGGGGGGGGGGGGGGGGGCCCCCCCCCCCCGGCGAGCGCGGGGCGGGGGGGGGGGGCGGCGCGGGGGGGGCCCCCCGCACAAAAAAGGGGTGGGGGGGGGGGGGGGGGGGGGGGGGGGGGGGGGGGGGGGGGGGGGGGGGGGGGGGGGGGGGGGGGGGGGGGGGGGGGGGGGGGGGGGGGGGGGGGAGGAGAAGGAGTTTTTTGGGTGGGGGGGGACCCCCCCCCCCCCCCCTTTCCCCCCCCCCCGGGGGGGGGGGGGGGGGGGGGGACCCACCACACCACCGGCCCCCCGGCGGGGGGGGGGGGGGGGGGGGGGGGGAAAAAAGGGGGGGAAAAAAAAGGAGAAAAACCCCCCTTTTTTTTTTGGTTTTTAAAAAAAAAAAAAAGGAAGGGGGGGGGGGCCCCCCCCCCGGGGGGGGGGGGGGGGGGGGGGGGGGGGGGGGGGGGGGGGGGGGGGGGGGGGGGCCCCCCCCCCCCCCCCCCCCCCCCCGCCCCCCCCCCCCCTTTTTCCCCCCCCCCCACAAAAAAAAAAAAAAAAAAAACCATAAAAAAAAAAAAAAAAGGGGGGGGGGGGGAGGGGGGGGGGGGGGGGAGGAAAAAAGGGGGGGGGGGAGGAAAAAAAAAAAAAAAAAAAATTTTCCCGAGGGGGGGGGGGGGAAATTTAAAAATAATTAATTTTCAATTTTCCGTAACAAAAGTTTGCGCCAATTACCCCCCTTTGGGGCGGGGTCGGGGATGAAGAATGGATTTTTTTTTTGGCCCCCCCCTAATGTGTACTTTGTACGCACGCAGTTTTTTTTTATACCAAGCTTTCCATTGAATCTGTCTCTTCCTTAGTTAAATATAATACACAGTTGTATGAACAACTGTAATTAAAAGAAAAGGCTTTCTTTATCTTAATCCTAACGCTTTCAAATAAACACAATAAAATGGAAATCCGTAGTCTTTCCAACTAGTAATTAACTGGCTTAATCGCCGGACAGCCGATAAAAGTTTTTAATTGACTTTTCGCCCTCCCCGACACCTTCGTTAATCTTGATCTTAGTAACGTATAGGGTTAGCAACAGAAATTAATGGAAAAAGTGAACAACCAGTGCTTTTCTTTATCCGTAGGTCCGTTTATATTCAGCATTAGATTAACTACATTATCCCTAAGTAACGTAGGCTACCAATTTATATGAAAAAAATCCCTAAGCTTGCGGAGCCGGGAATAGCTACTAAATGATAACCCCTTATTTCCATCATATTTATTAATAATAATAATGTGTTAATAAAATGAACTACAAGATGTATAGTATATAAGATCGTCCATATAATAGGAAGATCTTACTCCCGAGTGAAGGTTAGGTACTCTGTAACTTCTAATAGTAATGCCTACAGCGAACCCCATGTCAATAATGGATTTATAGTATGGCGCGATTCCAAGGTTGCGACATCAGCTCTACGTATCAGTATCGCTATCACTATTGGAAGTTACACAGTACCCACCCAGCACCCTAGTTAAATCTATACTTAAAATAACTTTCACTATAGATTTTGCATTTTTCTTTATAAATAAAAATTAAATAATTAATTAACATACTGTTTGACTAACAGTATGCGAGTTACGTCAAAGTTATTTTTTTATTACAATTAATTAATTAATGGTATCTTATAACTGTAATTAAATAATGCTTAAATAACGTTTTAAACATTGCCAACCCTAACACAATCCGATAATGGCTTTCTCACTATTTTTTTATCCAAGTGTTAAGTGAATTACGTAGAGAGAAATAACATCTGCTCTTCTCTCACCAATACTGACTCGTTTCTATACCCAATTAACTTTTGTTAAGGCAAATTCCGGTAGGCCTTTAAGTATTTATAGTTAAAGATATTTACTATTGTTGCATAACTAACCCTTGAAGGAATCAGGTGCGACAATAAAAAAATCCTCCTCCTTTTTTTCCTTAATACCTACTTTACGTATAGTATTTTTTCTAGTTACTAGTTCAGTAAATACTAGTTAACAGTTTAGTAAATACTAGTTCAGTAGAACTCAACAAAATGATCGCTTATTATCTCGCTTACTCCGCTGTCTCTGCTTCCCAGCACGTGTCTTAGCCTCCGAAACGAGAAACTTCCTCCGTTACCTGTACTGTATGATCGCGAAAAGTTTAATTTTTTAAAAAGCTGTTTAATCTTGTCTTTCTACTTTCGCAGCTTGCCACACATGCTGCAGGCACCGGCAATAAAACTAAAGCCATCTAATCCGCTGAGGTAACTTTATTGTCTTCGAGGATCTTTTGTTTAAATTTACTATTATTTTAACGAAACAATAATTGTGTTAAATAAATGATCATTCTAGACTTCCGAACGTTTCACTTCTCTCTCACCGAGCACTCCCTCGTTAATAATAGAGCGAAGCCTTTATGCCGTGTTGTTATTGCAAACCCGTATTATACTAATTTAGTAAAATGATATTACTAATTTGGCTGTGAGAACAAAACAGTACCTAATCAATTAGGAAATAACTAAATCTGAAAATGTATGTAAATTAAAATTTTATTCATCTTATTTATAAAAACTAATGTTTCAATAAAAGGACTATCACTTTGAAGAGGACCAGTGGCTCTACAACCTATTAGGACTCACTATGTGATCAGCCTCTTGTGCCTGACATTCTGACATTTTTTGATTCTAAGGCTTGTCTGTTTCCTCGCAATTTTCCTTTACCATTGCGAGTGTTAAATGCGCACATAGATAGACATTTAAAAAACACGAATTTCGATAATACGTTATAAGAGATAATTTCAAAGAGATTGTTAAAAACAGACTTTGTTTAACAAAAAAAAATTCTTATGGCCGATCTAAGAAATAATGGACTCAGTGTTATACCACTGTAGAATCCTTAATAAATGCGCTAACTTTTAAAGTTACGTGCCAAACTGGAGTAATACATTTTTTTTACAGGACGATCAGTTGAAGTAGTGCGAAAATTAATTTTGAAAACTTGGTACGGTATAAAATGACATTTTCCTAAAAGTTGGAGTGATTAGCACAGAGTTTAGGATCATAGGTTACATAAAACACTATTCGGGATGGCGTAAGAGAAAAAAAATTGGCAAAAAGTAAATATTTGTAACAACAGGAATGAAAAAACTGTCACATGGTGTGCATTTTCTTTAATAACAAAAAAATATCCATAACTTCAAAAATACATGATTTATTTTAATTTTTTTAATTTTTCTGATAACTGGTGTGGCATTACCTATGAGAAAATTTCGACTTGACGTCGACTTTTGCGACACCCTGTATATTAACTACTATGATTTACGTTTGTCAAACAAAATGTTTCTAATAGCACAGTAATGATAAACAGATTTATTTTGTCATTTATACTGACTAAAATAAAAAAGAATCACTTCCTATTTCATCCGCATGTAGGTTGCAATTTAAAAAAAAATATACAAATAATGTTTTTTTATTATCAATAGCCTGGATACAATCATGATATATCTTTGACTATAACGAACTTGCATAAAACTTTCACCACCTATATTAACCCCTTATTTCGCGATGAATAAATTCTTCTTGCCCGCTCTACGCCCTTGACGTGCGAACTGGTAGTAAATGTAAATTTAGAATTAATTTAACATCTTTTCTGTTGACGTTCATAAGTCTACCTATATGAATAATGACCATAAGTCCGTTCTCAAGGTCAACTTTATCTAATTCCATTACAATTGGTACTGTGGTTTGGGCGAGCCCGTTTCAGATAAGTTATAATCTACGCATTTAATATTATTAGGAATATATAATATATTATATATGGTCCAATAAAAACAAATGACTACAGTTATAACGGAAACAAAGACAAATAATTTCTAGATTCTTTATTTTGTTAATATTTACAAAATAAATTAATATAGCAAAAACAAATTTAACATCGTGCATTTGCTATTCTAAATTATTTTAAACTACGCTTCGGAGATATTTAATTACTAAGGTTGAGGTTAGTGCCAGTCGCCAAGATTCCGGACGTTTTTTATTTTTTTTAATATCCATAGCGATGACGTCAACCTTTGGCTCAATATATAAGGGATTACTATAGGAAGTTACAAATAATATAGCTTAGGATCCTTATAGCAGGGATGTCAAAAAATAACCGAATTTATATAAAGCTATATTTTTTCATATAATCGGACCTCTAAATATTACAAAACGATTTAATAAATCGATTATATTTCCAAGCGTTTATTATTTATCGTGTCTAGTACGATAAATAATAAACGCTTGGACATTAAACGTAAGGGAAAGTAATATCATATGTCAGTCGAAAAATTAAATATTTATTATTCTGTAGGTACAAAAAATTAAACTTACTGAATTAAGTTTAAAAAAATATTTTTTAGCAAATTGCTTTTTTATAAAACGATTTACGAGAAAACAATCACATCCCTAACTTAATGATGATAAATATTTTTCTCTAGTATTTCCTATAAAACAGGATTATCTAATGTTTCTACCAAAGTTAACTACATCACAATGTATAATTGTTTCCTTCAGGTTCCATTCCATTTTCAGCGAATGATGCCATTTATTAAAATCTGTAACTTTAAGGAACAAAGAGTGGTAAGGTGATAATGGTATAAAATTCAAACGAAGTTTATTTTAATAAAATAAAATGCAAAGCGATTTTTTTTAACATAAATTAATTAATACGGGACTCATAGTACGCGCTATATGAACATTCTACTATGAATAAGTTGGCGTAACACTAGCCCCGACTTGTCGCCTTAAGCTGGCAACCCTGTTCAATTCCTCGATATTCTTCAATATGGTATCGAAAAACGCTACTATCCATTCCTCAGTACTCCTTTTTCCTGTGATTTGTTCCAATTGTTTCTTCGTTTCCGCATACAGTCCTTTGAGATCAGTTAAAATTCTGAAATTTTATTATCAATACAGTGCGTGCACTCATGCTCGCCAGATGTGAGAAACAATGTCTATTAAGTATTTTTTTAGTTAGACAGCAATAATAGTCTGTGCATAAGGAATAGTAATCTGTGCCAAAAGAACCAACATGTCGATTATGGAAATAAATCTTATTTCTTATGTCATTACATGTTTATAAAAATTATATGCTTTTAATTATATATTTAATATATTAAGTATCCAAATTATTACTGAACTATAATGACGTAATAGTGTTACGAGTTTCCGTAAGAAGAAAATACTAGATACTAAATCATGTGAAAATAATAAGGTACCGCCAAAAAATTTCAACAAAAAAAAAGGTTGCGTCTCTTCCAGACACAGACTGTAATAACAAATTACGCGAAAAGTTTAACGCGCTGTTTAGTTTTACGCGGGAAAATTTACCATCTAAACTTCATCGTTGATTTGAATATTGCATAACAATTGGTCAAATTATGATGTATATAATAGTATATTTCATTACAAGTGCGGAAAGCCTGTCATTGCAAAGAGTTTCGACAAATGTCTACCCGAGCCGAGGCGCAGCCGAAGGTGAGGCTTGACAGTCGGAACAAGTTGCAATGACGGGTCCGCACGTGTACTGAACAACTATTTTTAATACAATTGCGAAAAAATTAAGCAATTTAATAAAATATTAAAACACAATAAACTCAACTAACTAATCATTTATTTCTTATAAAAGGTATAATTCACATATTCATTGAAATTGGTAGAGTTTTTTTACTAACTGGGGAAATTTAGGTTGCATATTTACCGTTTGAGACAAACTTTTATTAATTTCGTATGATTGTTCATGTATATTAAATATATAATATAACATACAACTAAACTAGCAAAGAACATTTTTGGAAAATGGCGCCAACTGTAAAAGAATATGATTAGAGATTTTTTTTTCTTCACCCATTCTGGGTAGGCAAAGGGAACTATGCCGATACAGCCAAGTCTTCAGTAGATTTTTTTATTAATATGAAATTTAATGAGATGAATTGAAATGAAACCTAACCTTAAACTCATTGAATCAAATCATTAAATCTGATATTAAAACAAATTAGTAGCTTCCTTTTTGAAATATTTGCATGAATTATAAAAACTTCTATGATTTTTTTTAGTAAAAACTTCGTGATTGTTTTTTTCTTTTTAATAGACATTATTTTGACAGTTGGGAAAGAAAACGCACTAGTTCGGAAAAGGTAAAAAAAAAGCACGAGTGTGTAATAGCCCACATCCCGAACGCTATACGTCCCTGCAATACGCCACTTTTTGAGCAACTGTATTAAAAAAATACTTACGTTTTCGAAGCATTTGCCACGCTTTCAACTTGTACCGGACTTGTGTAGGACATTTTGATTTGCCAGGGATTTAGCCACGTCGCTACTCTGGAATAATAAGTTACTTTAAAAAATATATTAAAATAGCTAATAGGTTAAAATAAAACAGACAGAACAGAATAAAACAGAAAGAAACAGAAATTCGCGAGACGGGCTCAACAATCCAGAATAAAGAAGTTCTCATCTGTTGGAAATTTTCTGAAATAAATTTACTTAGAAAATTTCTAGCGGCCAACGTTGTCTATGCTCGCTTTTTAGTGTACGGTTCTAGGTCAGTGGGGATGTTTTAAATAATGTACACTGTTTATTATCAACCCGCGTTAAACAAAGTATATGAAATAATTATATACTAAATTAATGACATAAAAAAATGAGATGTAAATTTATATGAAAATGCTAAAGAGAGAGTACCTCATACAAAAGAGAATTAAATTATTAAGTAATTAGTAAAATACACTTACATGTCTCCGTGTAGTAATGAATAACTTCGCTCTCTCAACATGACGAACGAGTGAATACATCTAGCGACTTCTATGCCAGGCCATTCTTCCTCTGGCAAAACTTCGCTGGCTATTTCTGGTGATCATGTAATAAATTTTAAAAAACTATTTTTTTATAAAAAGCGTACGAACTACAACTTTTATTAGTCTTAAACTAAATAAAAATAAATCAGTGGCGCTACAACAACCTCTTTAGTTCTTGGCCTCAGATTTCTGAATCTGTTTCATGATCATTTTACAATCTAATAGGCAATTAAGTGATCAGCCTCCAGACACACGCCGTCGACTTTTTGGGTCTAAGACATGTTGGTTCCCTCACGATGTTTTCCTTCACCGTTCGAGCGAATGTTAAATGCGCACATAGAAAGAAAGTCCATTGGTGCACAGGCGGGTTTCGAACCTACTACCTCAGGCATGAGAGTCGCACGCTGAAGCCACTAGGCCAACACTGCTCTTTCGAGCAAATGTTAAATGCGCACATAGAAAGAAAGTAAATTGAAAAGAAAACTGATGATGAATGAATTGGAAGTCAGAACCTTAATACCTTTACCTAATTGAAAAGAAAGTTAACTTAAATAAAGCAAAAGATAAAAGTACAGATAATAAAGAAGGCCTAAAGAGGGGGCCATTCAGTTTTTGAGTTTATCACGAACAGACAGAAACACGGTGGAGGATATGAAAGTAAGACATAATAATATACTGTCGCTGACTTTTTGTAGGTATTATTAATCACGTATCTCTCGTCGTTAAGGTAGTGTTCGTAAAAACGTTGACCGTTTTCTCTCCGACTTACCGGCTACAAAATTGTCCTTTTAATTTTACGGGCTAATAAGGGAGCGTTCAAGTATTACGTAACGCAATTTTTGGATATTATTGACCCGAACCCCCCCCATGTAACGCGCCGTAACGATTTTCTGTACCCAAGTATAGTCAAATATTTCGTGACCACCTAGTGACTCAGTGTGAAGTACTGGAAAGTCGAAAATAATATTAACAATATCGCGTAATTCACTCCCCGCCGCATCGTAACGTTTTACAAAAGGACCCCCTCCCCCTAAAATTCGTTACGTAATACTTGAACGCTCCTTAAGCCTAAGTCTATTACAATCAAATAGCGTGACTATCGGTCCAAGAGTCCCCTTTAAATAGAAATTTGTGAGGTTGTAAGGGGTGTTAACTAAAGGTAAAACGTGTTATAGGATGCACCGCTTTTCATAATTTTGTATGTATGTCAATTCGAATCATGTGTTTGTCCTAATTCTTTATAACATACATTTTGGCACAAAAAATGTTTAAGCAAATAGTAAATAAGTCCCATACAACCCAAAAATAGCTAAAATGAAACACAAAAAATGGGATCTTACCATTAGTCTCCATAGGTTGAGTCCAAATTCTAAGACAGCTAAACAAACTGGGAAGAGCAACGGGAAGCAATTCACACAATGTCGCGTAATGGTCGTATCTGAAAATATTTTATATTATTTTTAACACTTCGTTGCATATACAGAAATATAATACAATTGACATAAATAAAAAAGAGGTCAAGTGGGCCTTATCGCTTTCGAGCGATCTCTTCCAGGCAACCGTGATAGAAAACAAAAATTAAATTAGATAAGGTAAGCGCAATGAAGTGCAAAAAAGATTTATTATAGTTATTTAAGTATGAGTAATTAAAACAAATGTAAACAGTGAACAGAACAATAATTAAAAAAAAATGGTGCGTGTACTTATGTACGCGCGTAAGAAGTTATACTTCTTTGGCTTTCTTTATTTTTTTTAAATATTAAATAATTAATTAATATTAATAATAATTATTATTTTATTATATTATTAATTCAATTTAATAACTAGGTAGGTTTCATAACCTTTTAACTAAGTAACAATAGGTCTTTGTGAAAAAGCATTGCTAAATTTCTTTGAAAAAATTATTAAAACTCCTTTATTTGTTTAAAAGGTACTACAAATGTCATTATGGTCATTCAAAATTCTTAGCATAGCTGCAAACGTCACGCATATTCTATTTCTATTTACTTGTAGATTGTCTTATTCCCATCTCGCTGGCGCACGCTCGGCGCCCATACTGATAATTTTGTGTCACGGTGCGCGCGCATCGTAAAATTTCACTCTCATCAATTTTTCATAATGCGCCTAAAGAAGTATAACTTCAAAAAACGACGGGTTGCACTCCGGGAGTGCCGGCAGAAGTGAAAACTTTAATATTAACGTTGTGCATTTTTGATATTTTGGAATGGTTAGGGAACAATTTTGCACGAATTGCTTTAATTATCAGTATAAAAGTACTATCATTTATGTGGTAGAATACAATATTTATTTATTGCGCTATTGTACACAAACATGACAATTTATATAACATTAAATGCGCCGCGCCAGCTGTCTACTCTCCATCCGTCTAACGAATTTTCGATCTTTTATTTAATATTTAATATTCCACAGGAATCACCCAAAATTTCAGATCAGTTAGTACGAAAGTTAGGGATACGATGTGGACAGATAATTCTTGTACATAGTATACGTTTGCGTAATGTAAGTGCATCCTATTACACCACGCCTTGGTGATAGAGGTCAAAGGATTGGTTTTCGTTATTTTTTAATTATAATAATTAACATCTTTAACGTGTGACGAGGAGCATGTAATTGTTCTTACAAAGGTGTTTAAAAACAGTTTGTAAGCATCTTGGCGATTTAAGAGTGACGGAGAATTTAATGCCAGTTCTTCTCCTCATTCTAGGCCCTTGATTTCAGAGATTTGAGAGAGCAATAAATGTAAATTTAATAAGTGTACATTAAGTTACCTACATCAATAAATTATATTTTGATTATTTTAATGGAATATTAATAATAAAAGTTTTTAATTTTTTTTGTTTAATTACTCTATCCAGTGGGCCTAGATGGTAAAAATAAATTGGGAATTTAGAATAATTTCAGAGTGAGTATGAGAGTGATTAATTTGGTTCATTTAAAGAACATATTCAGATTTTATTTTTAAATGTCTTAAGAAGTTGATTATGCAAAGGTAACTTTACCATATGTTAGGTCTTAGTTATTTTTTTTTATGTAATAATGTATTGATGTTAAATGATACCACCGTCCATGGACTCACATTGCCAGACAGCTCGCAAGTGCGTTGCTGGCCTTTTAAGGATTCGTACGCTCTTTTATTGGAGGACCCTTAGTCCAATTGGGTCGGAAATACTTCAGTAGAATAGAATAGAATAGAATAGAAATATGTTTATTTCCCTAGTTCTTATGTTACATTATGTCCACAGGTCGATGGTGTATTCGGCCTGTGGGTGTGTCAGCTACTAACAGACTACATATGTTTGTCTCAGAGAGATCTATATAAGTGTCGTGCAGTGTGTGCTGTGAGCTTGTTAAATTGTACAGAATAAATTTATAATGTTGTTATATATTGTCTTATCCTACTTACAGCTAATTATAATTTATGGGGACGCGGAGCGGTCGTTCGCTTGCTGAGCAGCCGACTCCTGTCTTTTTTTGATACATAATCTATTTCACCTAATCTAGTGTTAGTTAGTAGGGGGTTGTGCTGTCCGTATCCGAGGTAGGCTCCACCAGGGGTCTCTAGATCCTCGATGTGCATCTCACGGAGTCGACGCAGCATATCCTCGTTTAGGTCTTGTGCACGGAGATGCCATGGATCCCAATCTAGCATATCCCAGAGTATCGAGGTTTCTAGGCGTCTTGGGAATTGTCCGCTGGTTTTGAGAGCCATTCGATATTGGCGTTCAATTTTTAGTAAATTGCTCTTACTGTAACGTGAGAGCAATTGTACTACGCCATAATCCAAAATAGGAAGTAGGCAGGCCTGTATTACTGCAAGTTTAACAGTCATATCCGTTTTGGCGTGCCATCCTATGATAGGGGCCAGTGCACCACGAGCCCGTCGCGCCTTCTGCACGACATGATCCGTCTGTTTGCCCATGCTCATTGTCTTGTCGAAGTGTACGCCCAGATATTTGATGCTTCTTTTATATTCAATTATGTCCTCTTTAATTCGGATGGTTCTGCGGTACTTTTTCTTGTGAGTGAACATAGCACACTCCGTTTTGTCCACGTTACATTTTAACCCCCAGCGACGGTAGTAGTCGATGACAGTGTCGGCGGCCCAGCCCGCGCGTTGTGTCGCGGAGTTTGGGTCGGGAGACCTGTTAAGGATGCACAGATCATCGGCGTATTGGGAGAGCTTGAGTCCGCCGATACGGTCCCGTTGGTCCCAGACGTCGTGTACGTACAGATTGAAAAGGACCGGACCCAGAATAGAGCCCGTACCGGTTTTTTGTCACTGTAAGTGGTTCTGAAGCGTCCGTAGGTTTTGCGACCGTTAAGGTAATTCTCTATTATTTTGATGATGTTGTTCGGGACGTCAGCTATTTGGAGTTTCTTCGCTAGACCTTCGTGGTTTATTGAGTCAAAGGCCTTCGAAAGATCTGTCAGGACCATGCTTACACTTTCTCTCGCTTCCAGCGCATCCGTAATGAACTTTCCAGTGCGAAGGATCTGTGTGCCTGTTCCTCTGTTCTTGGTAAAGCCATGTTGGAACGGCGGTTGTAGTCTGTCGGCCGTCTGTCGCAAGCGCGACAAGAGTAGGCGTTCGTGTAGTTAACCCATGATGTTTAGAAGAGTGATGGGTCGGTACGATTTGGCGTCACGGTGATTCTTGCCTACTTTGTGAAGGAAGATACACTCCCCGATTTTCCATCTCTTGGGATAATAACCTGTCAGTAACAGGTAGTCAGCTATCACTTTGTACCTGGTGAGGAAAGAATTGCCACCGAGTTTGAGGGCGTCTGCTTTGATTTTGTCTGGGCCAGGCGCCTTCTTATTCTTAAAGCGTCTCAGCGCGAATTTGATTTCCTCTATGGAGGTAGTAGTACGAGATCCCGCTGCAGGATTGGTGCGCTCATCGACTATTTGTTTAAAACCAAATTTTTATGTTTATTTATAATTAAGAGAATATATATTTACTAGGGTGCCTATCAAAATTTGGCCGCCATTATTTTTAATTAAATTATTTTTAATTGATTTTTGGTAAAAAATTTCGTTCATGTATTATTTAAATAAAATAACGTCTACATCACGTTAATTAATATGAAGATTCTAAAAAATCACGGGTGCCGTTGCGCATCTGGCCGCACCTCTTTGCAGCCAGGTGTAAACAGGTATGATTTCGATAAATTTATACGTTTATAACCTATTTTTATTAATTATATGTCAAATTGAAGCTAATTTTTTTCTATTAATTATCATATAAAGTTGCTTAATTAAATCTGGCCGCAAATAAGGGCTACTGGCTGTTAAAGATAATAAATATTTAAGGTAGAGTGAAAGAGAGTTAGCGCGTAACATCATTTGTCAGACGAGGACAGCGATTGTCGGCTAAGCGACGCTTTTAAGCCATTGCGCATGCGTCGAATGTCAGTGTTCTCAAACTGAATACAGTAGAAGCTCGTTAAGTCGAACCTCGATAAGTCAAAAACCTCAAAATCTCGAAAAAATGTTTTGTTCCCTTCCCTTAAAACACCAAAACCTCCATTACTTGAAATATTGACCCTCTGTTAATCGAAATAATCACCGAGTCCCTACAAGCCATTTTGGTACATATTTTTTGGCGTCTCCCTTGATGTTCGACTTATAGAGGTTCTACTGATGTTAGATGCAACATTTTTATTCTAACATAAAAAACCACGCTGTTTTGGAGTTCGTAATAAACAACGTTTTATATTTACATTGTTATTTTATTTGTGCATCTAAAAATTATTATATTAATTAATGTAAAATAAAATTGATAAAGATGAAGTCGTGTTTTTTGTGTAACGAAAAAAGCAATGTACTCGACTTTAATAATGTATCATTCCAAAAGTGGTCGCTAATGTTATTGTTTCGTCGTAAAAAAAATATAAACTTCAAAATTTATTATCATTTTAAAAAACCATTTAATATCATTAATATCTAATAGAGATATAATATTTAATTTTTGTAATTGGATTATTGCTTCATCAAAATGTTCAACAAATTGCTAACTAGACCGTCGATATTATATCAAATCAATATTAATTTTTTGTTGCAATTTTTAAATTTGTCATTTTGAAAAAAATTACATATTTTTTATAAGACGTCTCTATTACTCCCCGGTGGTTGAGAACACTAACGCATGCGCAATGGCTTAAAAGCGTCGCTTAGCCGACAATCGCTGTCCTCGTCTGACAAATGATGTTACGCGCTAACTCTCTTTCACTCTACCTTAAATATTTATTATCTTTAACAGCCAGTAGCCCTTATTTGCGGCCAGATTTAATTAAGCAACTTTATATGATAATTAATAGAAAAAAAATTAGCTTCAATTTGACATATAATTCATAAAAATAGGTTATAAACGTATAAATTTATCGAAATCATACCTGTTTACACCTGGCTGCAAAGAGGTGCGGCCAGATGCGCAACGGCACCCGTGATTTTTTAGAATCTTCATATTAATTACCGTGATGTAGACGTTATTTTATTTAAATAATAAATGAACGAAATTTTTTACCAAAAATCAATTAAAAATAATTTAATTAAAAATAATTGCGGCCAAATTTTGATAGGCACCCTAGTAAATATATATTCTCTTAATTATAAATAAACATAAAAATTTGGTTTTAAACAAATAGTCGATGAGCGCACCAATCCTGCAGCGGGATCTTAGACCATAGGATCGAGAGGCTGGAACGGTGTGGTCTTCTGTGCTTTTATCTTCGTTGTTTATTTCAGCTTCGGTGACGATCGCCGCGTCAACCAGTGCGTCGATGGTTTCTTTCTCACTGTTGCAACCCTCAATGTAAGGGAGTCTCTGTACTGGAGCCTTTAGGTTGCGTTGAATTCGCCACATCTGGGTTCTGTTGTTTTGTGGATCATTTATTATCCGTGTCCATTTTTCGCTGCTATATTCCACGAGCGCCTGTTGGACCTGGCGTTTCAAACTATTGTAGATTCTTTTTTGTTCCGTTATTCTGTTATGGTTGAAACGCAGTCGCCATGCTTTACGTTTAGCTTGGTTTCTTTTGGTAATTAATTCATTAATCTCTTTTGGGAGTTGACCTCTTCTGTTGTTTTCATGTAGTGGCGCATACTCATCCAAAGTTTCTGTGATGGCTTTTTCTAGTTTAAGTATATATAATTCGCATTGTGCGTCGGTTATGATTTCTTTTGGTAGGTGCGTTGTTTTATTCCAAAGGGTTTGTTGGAATTGTTGTCTGATTTCTTCATTGTTTGCAATAGCGCGAGTATTTCTTACCAGTGTTTTCTCTCTGTCCACTACTATGCTTAGGTCTAGTAGCCAGGGCATATGATCGGAGCCAACCGGTGTTATTTGTCGGCATGTTATGGTGTCAAAAGCTTGCGCATCGTGTGAAAAGATGGCTGCATCGAGGATGCCATAGCCCGCACTGTTTGGTCGCGAGGGTAGGCAAGTGTGGTGTATGGTGCAGACGTCGGATTTACAGAGGTCGCGGACTAGTATTCCCACCCCTTCGTCTCTCGTCTGGTTGAGTGCGGTCATTTTAAGGTTGAGATCCCCTATGGTGATATTTGGAGCTTCGGTTATAATGTCTTCTAGCTCATCATTAAGCGTTGCAGCATCGAAGTGCTCTGATCTGTGCGGTATGTATATCCCCTTAATTTTCAGGGAATCTCCGGTCAAGTGATCATAAGTGAGGTTGATAGCGACGCCTTCGATGAGGCGGTCTCTTTCTTCAGTACCTGGGGTTACGTCGGTCTGACTCCAGCGTAGTCCTCGCATCACGTACATGGCTGTAGTTAGATGCGACGCGATCGAGTGCGTAATCTTATCGTAGTTTATAAGATTCATGTGGATTTTGGTAAAATCCACCCGACATTCGTTGACTACGATTATGTGAGGTTTGTAACGGCCAGCTAAGAATTTTAGCTTGAGGAATTTACCTTTTAGCCCTTGCGCATTAAGGTGCAATATGCGCAACTTATGATATTGATTTCTTGGATTATTTGTTGAGAATTTTTATTAAGATTTCATGTTGGAGCTGAAGCTGGTGTAATATTTGTTTCATGGTTGTTTGTAGCTCTTGCTCTAGCGGTTTCATGCTGGTTTCTTTGTTTTCTGTGCGTTCATCCAGTTGCGTTGTTGGCTGGTTCTGTGATTGTGATTGGGGCGCCTGCTTGGGGAGCGGTGGAAATTGTGAATTTGAGGTTATGTTCATATACGAAACGTTTTCTTGTCGGTATTTCAGTGCTGCGTATCGGCATTCTGCTGCATCTCTCTTTTTCCTTTCTTTTTCTTCGTGTTGTGCCAGTTGACGGTTCACTGCCTTCTGGAACTTTTCGCATTTGGCTTGGTTGGCCCCATGGCCTGGTTTTTTGCATGCTGTGCATATTTCTATACCTATGCCTTCTTCGTTTTGAATTATGAAGGTGGGGTGTTTCTTCTCACCGTGACACGCCGATGTCGCATGCGTGAAGAGGAAACATTTCTTACATTGTACTACTCTCCTGGGGTCGTCTTTGTATTCTTGAGGTTTCATGCTGAAGGCTCCAAAGTACGCATGCTTTGTTGTCTTCATAAGCGTGGCGATTTCATTGTATGTGTGGGCACCATCAAAGATAAACAATTGTAGGTTACCCTTAATTGTTCTCATTTTGATCGGTCTCACACCAATGCACCTCTCCATTTCCTCAAGGCATGAGTCATTCGTCTCATCGTAGATGTTCGTGATGAGCACAACCTTTGTCTGATGGGTCTGCTGGGCTTTGGGGACGCGTGCCACGAAGCGGAGCCCGCCGTCAAGTTTACTTAACTCTTCTATAATTATTTTCCTTGTGTCCGCGGTGTAAACGCGGATTGTAATGGTCCTCTTGTTACCAGCCATAGCGTATCTTGCTCCATGCTCTGTGGTTATTTTTCTAATTTTGTTAAGGTATTCCGGATCGTTGATTTTCTTCACATCTGTTATGATAATGTCGGGGATGTGAGTGGATGATGTGATCACTCTCGGTTGTTGCTGGGTCGCTGTCGAGTTGGGAGTAACGGCACCTCTCTTTCTCTTCTTGCGTTTGGGTGAGGTGAATGACGCATAGTCATTTTCTCTTTCGATTTCGTCTTTGTGCTCCTCTTCGGTGGAGAGCGAGGAAAAACGGTTGCTTGTTGTTATGCTGGGCTTCGAGTTGGTGGTCGGGCTGGCGGCGCGCACCCGCGCTGTCGCGTGGCCAAACTGAGTCGAGGGGTCAGCAAAAGGCGGTATCGATACTGTCATGTCTTCGCGCGCAACGAGGGTGACGTTGCGAGCTCCCGTGACAACGTTCGCTTCCTTAGTTTTCGTTTTCGTGGCACCAGTGGTTACTCTGCCGGGCGCCGTCTCAGAAATCGCGCCACCAAATGCGTAACGCGGTGTCCGGCGAGTAGGGTGGTCCGACCCACACAACGATGGCTCAGCCCTTGTACTTCGGGTCCTGGGTACCTCTCTATGGTTCGATACTATTTTGTTCACTGTACCGCATTCACAGGTCACGTTCTCTTCACTTTCAAGTCCTATAATTGGCATGTACTTAACATTTAACTGCCCGTTGCACTTGCGACAGTCTGTTTTATTTATTTTGCAGAAATTTATATTACACGAATATATATTTATTTCATTTACGCTGTTCACTAGGTGTCCGTTTGAAATATTTACTGAAGTTTTTATAAAACATTTCACGGCACTTCTCTTGTTACAAAATCTACAAGTTAATGTTTTAATCTTACTTTGGAGTCCTTGCCATTCATGGAATTTTTTAATTAGGTTAATTTTTGCGCAGTGCCAACAAGTAACTGCGTATTGTCCTTCTTTGTCCGGGGAAAGTTCACTTACACTAGCTAATTTATAGTAACTTTTGTTTTTATTATTGACAGTTGCACTGTTCGTGTCCATTTCACTATTTTCTGGAGGGCCCAAAGGGCGCGTAACATTCAACAACGCGCATAAACGCGAACCAATGTGGGTAATTTATAAAAATATTGAGTTACTCGAGACGCGGAGCGCGAGTGAGCTCCGCGCGCACGTCCGCTCGTCACGGCTACAAACCCGTGATTCACTACAAACCCGTGATTCTACTTACTATTCTACTTACTACTACTACGAAATACTTCAGTGGGCAGCGGATTCCACAATTTTTTTTACAAAACTTTTTTTAGATATATAAATTATTTTTATAAGAATATAACATTATACCTTGACCAGCCAGTTAGTATGACTCCATTGAAATGAATGCCATTTGGTTTCTTACTGATTTCCCTTTGCCATGCCTCTTGATTACTGACATACCGAGCAACTCGTGACAGCATCTGAAGTTATCAAAAATATTTATGTAAATAGTATAGAAAAGCGTGAATGTAATACCAAAGGTAAAACGTAGAAGAATTTAGTTTACTTATTATTGGTCAAATTCCAATCACGGCGACGCGAGATTATCCATATTTCCCTTTCACCAATCAAAATATGCCGTCTATAATTTAACATTTCTCTAGTTCTTGGGCGTTAAAAAATCAAAAACAACGACTCATTGGTCTAGTGGTTAGTACCCCTGACTGCGAATCCATGGTCCCGGGTTCGATTCCCGGCTGAGACGAACATCGATGTGAAGAGCATTTGGTGTTGTGCTTAGGTCTTGGATGTTTAAATATGTATTTATATGTCTATCTATCTATAATATGTATGTATATCCGTTGCCTAGTACCCATAACACAAGTTTCACCAGCTTAGCATGGGACTAGGTCAATTGGTGTGAATTGTCAAAAAAAATAAAAAATTTGTCTGTTTGTAAAGTACAAACAGCTATAAAAATATTGTTCAACCCAATGTACTAATGTATTTGTTTAAAAAAAAAAGGTAAAAAAAACCAAACATTGCGTGGAATTGAAGTATCCAATCACAATCAAGCATTTTCTTTAAATAGATGTCGCAGCCAACTAGCTTAATTAGCCGTTCAATGAATAGCCTAGCCATTTAAACTAAATGGCGCCGTTTAACTTGCGGCCTGAAAGAACTTGCTGGATAATGCTTAGGCCATTCGTACGACAGTCGTTATTTGGCAGAAATAAAAAAGTTGAAACATATGACATAAAAAATATTTCTTTAAAAATTAAATTGCTTGAGTCAAATTCACATTATTATTGTCACAACACTTTTCCATTGTACTTGTTGTTTTTCATGAAACTTTGGAAAACACCATCAAAGTTGTGGTTTGCCTTTTGACTCGCATAAGACAAAAATAACAAATAATAAGTCAAAAGGGAACAAAATAATGCATATAAACTATATAATATAGGTATGCATATTATTTAAATTTAATTGTTAAAAAAAAATTTAGAAAATATTATCAGTAATATAAAGGCGATAAAAGCGATATCGACGCAAAAATGTGTATTTGTTTTGATTTGAAACTCACCTGACTACTCCCATTGGCCCCTTTAAACGCAGAGCCGGCCCATACATGAGAAAAAAGGTTTTCATACTTCTCCCATAATGTCCGGTCAATTTGAAAATGTTCTACTGAGCTATAGTTCCATATAACTGGTTGAACTAAATCTCGCAAGTTGTATGCTGAAACACGCGACATTGTTTTAACGAGACGATTTCGTATGTGTCAGATGTGTAAACATTTTTGAATTTATTTTTAATTTTAAGAACATAAAAAAATGGACTGTCAGTAAAAATTAGATCTCACAATATGAGGGAAATAAGGATAAACATTACTAAATAAATTTAACTAGAAACTTTGAGTACCTAGTATTCTCAAAGAATTATATCGAAATAAATATACTTCCGCTCTACAGACCCATTCCCTTTATAATAAATATTAAAAATAAAACATCAGTAAAACTTCTTTGATCAATCTTCGTTACCATCAAATGATAATTTGTTTGCACAGAATCGAACCTAGAACCTTCCAGATATCACACTGTCAACTATCCCAATTTAAAAAGATCAGGTGAATTAAATTACTATTTACCTTGTAACGTCTCAACAGTCATAGGCCGCAACATATCATCCCACATTAATATTGTGATATTGGGCCTGCGTTGCTTCACATACAATATCACAGCTTGTATATGATCTAAAAACAGTGAGGCCACTTTGTATTTATGTGTGGCCGCTTTATGTTGACATGAATGACAGACTGCTGTGTGCCAAACCTAAAAAAACTGCTTCTTAATACCTTGTCACAGATATTACAGAATAGAATATTTTTAGGGTATCTAATGATTGGGTTGCCTGGAATATATTGCTAAGCTAGATTTCTTTCCAAATTTTATACCTATTGTTTTCTTGTATTTTAATCTATACTATAAAAATGAATCGCTGTTGCTAAGCGCAAATCTCGAGAGCAGCAGAACCGATTTTGCTAATTCTATTTATATAATATTCCTTAAAGTACGAGGATGGTTCTTACGAAAAATTAAAAAAAATGAGTGAAATATTACCATACAAAAGATTCGTAATAATCCTTCAAAGTCAATTTGAACTTTAATACAATACCTTAAAGTTCAAGTGTTAGTGGAGGGGTTCCGGGAAGGTAATTTTTTATTTTTTGACATAATGTATTTGTTATCTTATCAACTTTCTTTTTATTATCTTACTAGCTAGAGCGGTTTCCCGAATAGCAGAATAAGTAATTTAAAAAATAAAGAATCGACTATTAGGCGGTATGATGTTCGCCAGGCTAGCTAGTTAAAAATAAAAACAAACACAACATAACAAATATAAATTAACAAAAATTTTGTTATTAGAAATATTAGCGATAATCAATCACAATGCAGTTGCATAAAGTGCCTCAAATGAGGAAATTACTATCTCTAAGATTCATAACAACCATAACCTATTTTGAAGGTAAATAAATATACAGTTAGATATTTATTTTTCTTCATTAAGTATGTATTTATATAAAACATCTTTAACAGTAACATGGAGTAATGTTATTATATATGTTATCTCTTTAATAATAATTATGATTGAGTGGCATTACAACCCTATATGAGTTGCCCTTGGCCTCAGATTGATTTCTTTGATAATTTTTAATTCATAGTTAAGTTTTGGTTTTGGGATATGGCGGTTTACTCAAAATGTTTTCCATAACTGTATGAGCGAGCATTAAGTGCGCATAGACAGAAAGGCCATTGGGGCACAGTTGGGGATTGACTACAACCACAGGGATGAAAGCTATGCTGAACTACACCAACACTGCTCTTGCATATCTTCGAGTATTATAAATGTTTAGCAAAAGGTTTCTTACCTCATCAGCACCGATATGGATATATTTGGCTTCTGGCTGAGCATTTAATATATCATCAATCAAGTTACAAACCAGTGGCAAAGAATCAGGTTTTGTTGGGCATAAAACAGCTGGTGATGGCAATGATTCTTTAAGATGACAAAACTTTGGATGCTTTAACACATATTCCATATGAGCTATGGTTTGAATTAGTTGAATCTGTTGAAAATATTTGATAATTAAGGAGTGAGTTAAATTGTTCGAAAATATCTGCTTAGACCACTTGTTCTATAACAATACTTACAACTTCTAGGCCATTTGCCTTTGCACAAAGCATTATATCTTTCACTTCTTCATGAGAGTACATTCCATCTCCCCCGGAATTATTTGAACTGCCGATGCACTCCAAATCTGCAGTAAAAGGAAATGTATCTTCCCACTCTATAAGTAGCCCTGTTCCACCCCATTCTTTGATAATGCTGAACAGCTGAAAAATTAAACAATTACAAATTTAATTGACATGATTGTTGGGGGTTTTTTAACAACAAATTTGAAACAATAATTCAAGAATTACTTTATAGTAGACAAAATCTGCAGAATTCTTACCTTCTCTAAATAAGAGACTTTCAAAGGTGCACCTTTAAAATCCAAATGAACTATCCTGTAACAATAAAAAAATATATAAATTTACCATAATCTGTAATTGCTTTTGAAGAATTATTACAATAACAAAAATCTATAGGTGCAACTTACTTCTCCATTTTAATTACAATCTACGACAGTGGAATATAAATCTATAACTGCTAGGTGATAACGTATAAATTTTGCAATCAAGTAATCAAAAAGGAATTATCTATGCATAATATACATGTTAATGTAGCATTTCTTTCCTACTTTTTCTCAAATCAAATCGGTAATATTTTTTTAAATAGGCTAAATATTCTGTAATCTTGTAGCTCATTGCTGTTATATAAACTAAGCAGCTTTGGAGTTTGGGCTATTCTTTAGGGCTCTTATATTCAGTTTTATATTATTAAAACATATTTACGTTCATAAATTCGTTCAGAATTTTTACAAACCCACAGATCAGACTACAGCCTTTTGTAGTTTAAGAAAATGAAACAGAAAACGGTCACAGATTAAATAAGGTTTCATATACAATTAAGTGCGTTTTCCAATTACAGCACTTTATATTTAATTAAAGTTATTTCAAACTGCTAAAAAATTAAATATAAGTATGGATGAAGGTATAAATAGTTACTTTTTTTATATTCCACATTTAAAATATGAATACAATTTTATTTTAAAATTCGGATCTGTAAACAAATTTATTTTACAGGATAATACTTTTGTAAACATTGCAATGGTTTTGAAAAAGTAAATAATTTTTATAGAAATCATTTAAAAAATATTACTCAAAACGTAAATGATGTAAACTTCTTACATGAAACTAAATATTTTACTGTTAATTTAGCTTGTTAAAACCTTATATTCTATAAAGGTTTTCTCTTATTTCAGTAAAAAAATGTTAATGAAATAATTTGATTATTAAAATAAGCGTAAAAAGTTTTCAACCAATTATTATTGTTAACCCATATTATTTATACATTAATGAGGTTGCTAACTCTATTCAGAACAATTTTTTTTCAACACTGACTTAGCGCACTCTGCTGATGCATTTGAAAACTAATTCACGTTCCAATTAAGCTTCAGCATTATGCGGCATTGTGCGGCACTGAGTCGCATTATGCTTTATAATTGGAAAACGCACTAAGTATCTGTGTTTAGTGATACTTTTATATAATTTATTTATTAAATAATTTAAGCAATCTTACAGTATATCTAGATATTATAACAAAGGAAAAAATAGACAATATACACAATCAAAACAGATGACATTGATAAACAAAATATACGGCATAAACATAGATTAGTTATGTACTTAATATTTAAAAAAAAAGTATGAAATTGTTACTACTGCTAAATAAGTCAAAGTCCTTCCACTTCCTAAAATATTTCCTCATGCCCTCTTTGGTAAGGTGGAAAATGTCAACTGAAAAATAGCTAGCTAAACCCAGTACCTAACATTGGCGAATTACGCAGATAATTTGTGTTCGTACGACGCACGTGGAACTTTTTTTGTAAATATCTTGTCGCATACGGGATACTTCAAGAAAATATTGACAGCAAATAGGGGCTACCTATACGTCCAATAAAAATAGCGTGCAAAAATAATAAATCTTGGAGAACCCCGACGATATTCCAATGAATCTAAATTAAAATATTCGCAAGAATCTGTACAACTATTGAAATATTTGTACTGTCTAAAACTAAGACATTTTACAACTTTTTTTGTATATTTTCGATAGATTTTAAATATTTTATATAGCATGGAGACGAGATGAAACTTGTACTCTAGCACACTTCTGACATAAGCAAAGTAGAGGCATTTTCATTGATATACAAAAACCCAAGATGCACAGTCTCGAATAAAAGTAACGCTCGAAAGTGTCCCGAAACACTATTTCTGTCCATAACAGTATATGTTACAAGCATATATTATTGCAAAATCAACCTTACGCAAATTGCTTAAAGTTGTTGTAATGTCCTGCTTCTTGGAGTGATTTACGGCTCACCAACACCACAACACTTGTACAAACGTCCTACACACAACCGCTCCGTTCGGGTGTCGGATTACGACTGACAGTCTGACAACTGACAAGTGACGTAGGCGCATGAGACAACCAAGTAACACTTTATTTAGTCAATACACTACATCCCTTTTTTGTTTTATTTGTTTTTATTGATTATATCTCTCTGATTACTCATTAATGTAACTTGGATGTAATGTGATGGATTTTACATGAATCAAACATAATTAATGAAATTAAAGTTTTATGCAGCTACACTAAGGTTAAGTTCCGACATTGATTTCCTCGTCGTTAACTTCATTTCTTTTCAGACATTCCATTCCCCTTGAACTCTTTTCAAATGTACAACTTCCCTCCTTCGAGTTTGACCGGTTTCATCGTTTCTTACCGTGATATCTCCTCTTTTCGTGATTTCCACCGTGTGTGTTTCTGGATTTATTTATTTTATTTTTATTTATTTCCTTTATTCATATTTTTATTTACACTATGTCTCCTGGTATTAAATCACACTATCCAGCCTTCCGTTTATCGTATCCGATTTCTTTTCCCATTTGTTTTCTTTTTTTCTCTATCCATAACCTCAGTGTCTTGTGCTGTCCTCTCTATTGTATCGTTTACCATAACATAAATAGGTAATTTATCTCTAAACTTCCTTTTGAAGAAAAGTTCTGATGAGGTTCTTCCAGTAACAGAATGTGTTGTACATGGTTAAATATTCCAGTAAACTTTCCTTCCAGTCTTTATTTTCAGCTATACTTATTTTAAGACGTTTAAGTATGACACAGTTTTGTCTTTCGACCTCTCCGCTTTGTCGCAGCCAATACGGTACTGTATTGAAAAGAATAATGTTTATTTCTGTTAGAAATGATTTAACCTCTTCGCTGAGTAACTGTCTTCTATTATCTGCAGTTATTGATTTCCTAATCCACTGAATATTCCTTTAAGTTTGGCTACAATTTCAGTAGAGGTAATTTTGCGACAAATCTTCACTTCTTTATAATATGTGGTCACCACTTGTAATGAATTGCGATATCAATCCAAAGCACTTCTGGAAACTCACGCCGTTTTATAGGGTTTGGTGGACATGGTGCAGATACTAGAGTACATCCTTTACAGGCTTTAACAATTTTATCAGCCTCTGTCGCATCTAGGCCACCAGACTTTCGTACGAAGTCTCGCCTTCATTGACACGATACCGGGATGTCCCTCGTGAGCTGCATCCAAAACTATTTTACGGAGTGCCGAGGGAACCACAATTCCCATTCCTCTCAATAATATACCCTCATGAAAACAAAGTTTATTTTGTAACATTTTATACAACTTCACGTCGTCGTTCCATATGTTCCGATATAAACCCTCTTTCACGTTTAATATTTTCCTATCGTCCATTGTGCTATCTATTATTTCTTTAATAGAAACATCACGAGGTCGGGCAAACTCTACAATATGACAAATGTGATTGTCTTCCAATTTTATCAGGGATTTCTCCGCATTTTTGCTTATTTGTTGTCTCGACAATGAGTCGGCGATATTGGTTTTCCCTGGTTGGTAAACTATTTTATAGTCGTACGATTGTAAGCGCATAACCCATCTCTCTATCTCTGCACATGGTTTAGATTTAGGACCAAATATTACCTCCAACGGCTTGTGATCTCTTATAAGTTCAAATCTTTTACAATAAAGGAATATGTGGAAATGTTCCACCGCCCACACGCGAATTAACGCTTCTTTTTCTGTCTGGCAATAGCGGCGTTCACAGTCAGTCAGAGTTTTGTGGCCATATGCAATAATCCTGGGCTCACCTTTGGAATTAGTTTAAACTAAAACTCCACCTAAATCCACAGGACTAGCATCTGCTATGACAATCGTACGATCGCTAAGTGCTAACATTATAATACCCTAAGCTAGGAATATTTGTCATGATTTCCTTCAACGACTTAAAATACCCCTTTTGTTCTGGTCCCCAGTTTTCGGTTACATGATATGCCAAACATGACTCTCTTGTATCTTAATAAGCCTTTACTGGTTATAAAGGTGGTTGTTTCTTGAAGCAGGATCTATTTCAAGTTGGTGAAATGCGACTTTAATATCCAATATTGTAAATACTTTTGCATTTTTCATTTTAGGTAGCAACTTGTCCATCGTCGGCAATGGGTAATTTTCTCGTACAATGGCTCCATTTCCTTTCAGCACCGGCACTACAGGGGACACCCATTTAGAAGAACCCACTATCGGCTCTATAATATCCCTATGTTTAAGTTCTTCTTCCTGTCGAAACGACTTTTCTTTTAAATTTACTATCCATCCTGTTTACTTCTTGATTCTCATTTGATTTCTGTGGGTTTTTAAACTCGTCTAATTGTTTATTAACAACTTCAAGAGTATTTGCTTCGGTGATTACTTGCTCTAATGTAATTTCATCCCCAATCTGTGATATCGTTTTTCTCAGTTCGGGTAGAAAACATTTTTTTCGTTATTTGGTCGATAATGTTTTCATCTCTGTCAGCAAACTGACATTTATCAGCTTGTTTTCCCAGTCTCACCACAAATTTAAATTTTTTCGTTAGGTTCTTGTTTAAGGAGTCTGTCTCTCGTATACTTTGTTCTGATTTGGTGCAAAGTAGGCATCAAGTTTAGATATTGCTACTTCAAACACGTCTTTGCCTTCAGTTGGTTCGACATTAGCTCCAGGAATGTTGTAAAACACTTCCTGTAAGTCTAGCGCACCGAAATGTACGAGAGATGCCTTTTTCTTTACGTCTTCGTCAATGTTAGACGCTTCGAGGTAAATGAATAGTGCTCGTTTCCATCGCTCCCATCGTGCACCCATTGAGGTAGATTTACCGTTACAGTCGAACTTTTCCAGTGAAAGGAGTGACATCTTTGGGGCGACCAGGAATTATCAATTTAATGATTCAGATATCTATGTATCTGCAGTTAGATTTGATCTCAGATGCTTCCATCTCGTATCAATTTAATGATCGGATTATATTTTTATCCGCATAAATCTACTTAAGCTGTCCATACCAACAAACGTATAAATTGAATTATCAGATTTTTAATCTGCTAAGTTAGTACTCACTAACGTACAATAATAATTTTATTGTAAAGCTTTTATTTTATTTATTGGTATCAATTTAATGATCAGAATTTTAATCTGCTTTTATTTTTATTTACTGATATCAATTTAATGATCAGACTTTTAATCTGCTTTTGTTTTTATTTACTGGTATCAATTTAATGATCAGACTTTTAATCTGCTTTTGTTTTTATTTACTGGTATCAATTTAATGATCAGACTTTTAGTCTGCTTTTATTTGTATTTACAGATATCAATTGAATGATCAGACTTTTAGTCTGCTTTTATTTGATTTACAGGTATCAATTTAATGATCAGACTTTTAGTCTGCTTTTATTTTTATTTAATGGTATCAATTTAATGATCAGACTTTTAGTCTGCTTTTATTTCTATTTACTGGCATCAATTTAATGATCAGACTTTTAATCTGCTTGTATTTTTATTTACTGGCATCAATTTAATGATCAGACTTTTAGTCTGCTTTTGTTTTTATTTACTGGTATCAATTTAATGATCAGACTTTTAATCTGCTTGTATTTTTATTTACTGGTATCAATTTAATGATCAGACTTTTAGTCTGCTTTTATTTTTATTTACAGGTATCAATTTAATGATCAGACTTTTAGTCTGCTTTTATTTTTATTTACAGATATCAATTTAATGATCAGACTTTTAGTCTGCTTTTATTTTTATTTACTGGTATCAATTTAATGATCAGACTTTTAGTCTGCTTTTATTTTTATTTACTGGCATCAATTTAATGATCAGACTTTTAGTCTGCTTTTATTTTTATTTACTGGCATCAATTTAATGATCAGACTTTTAGTCTGCTTTTGTTTTTTTTACTGGTATCAATTTAATGATCAGACTTTTAATCTGCTTGTATTTTTATTTACTGGTATCAATTTAATGATCAGACTTTTAGTCTGCTTTTATTTTTATTTACAGGTATCAATTTAATGATCAGACTTTTAGTCTGCTTTTATTTTTATTTACAGATATCAATTTAATGATCAGACTTTTTGTCTGCTTTTATTTTTATTTACTGGTATCAATTTAATGATCAGTTGGGTTCCAACTGCTTTCAGTAGATACTCCCATTTGTTTTACAGTATTAATCACAACCACATAGTTTAATTAATTTAGTGAACCAGATCCAATTTAGGGTCTTTGTTAAATCTACGTTAGTTAGGTAGACAGGTACCTACCGATTTAACGGTCAACGGTTGTAAATAAACCTTGCTATTATTTTTATTATTATTTTTGTAGACAAATAGAAACATCACTAAACACAAGCATAATCTTAATATATATAAATCTCGTGTCACAATGTTTGTCCTCAATGGACTCCTAAACTACCGAACCGATATCAATCAAATTTGCACACCGTGTGTAGTTTGATCCAACTTAAAAGATAGGATACATCTCAATTTAAACCTGCAATATAATTTTATTGCAAAATATTTGTTTCTTATTTAATAGCCACCATTCTAACAGATGGCGCTGTGTTAAAAGTACCAACGTTTCATAAATTCTTTCAACGTTTCTATAATTTAATGGCATAACCACCATAAAACATGGTGGTCCCCACGATTGGTGTACTCCTACCGTTTCCCTTGAATAGTTTACTATTTTGTAATATTACAAAATCCTTAGCCACAGCAACGCTTTGCCGGTCTACTAGTACAATATATTTCTATCACTATGTAGGTAGGTGCTACAAAACAATCGTACATTCAATGTAGATACCCGTAGTTTAGCTTAGCTGAACCTATAGGTAATTATTTGTTTATATCCTTAGCTCAGTAATTGCAGAGGTTTGTTGCTTACTGCTTAAATGTAGGTACGACAATATTAAATATTGTAATACAAGCAAAACATTTATGAAATATGAAAACAATAAGTACCTAAGTACTGTTCATATTTCCCGTCAACAATAAAATTATCTACATTCGTTCAGAAGTCAAGATGCAACTGTTTCTGCTATCAATAGCTAATGATTAAAACAACCGGGTCATAGTAAATTATAGGCAAAGTACTCTGGGAATGACGTCACTAATTGTTTAGTGCACCGTATCTTTCCCTTTTTTTTTTCTTATGTGTACTCACTTTTTCCTCGTCGCCACATGTAATGTCCTGCTTCTTGGAGTGATTTACGGCTCACCAACACCACAACACTTGTACAAACGTCCTACACACAACCGCTCCGTTCGGGTGTCGGATTACGACTGACAGTCTGACAACTGACAAGTGACGTAGGCGCATGAGACAACCAAGTAACACTTTATTTAGTCAATACACTACAGTTGTTATTACAACGCAGTGTATACGTACTTAAAGCAATAAAATTTTACGACCGACCGTGGTCGGTAGGACAAGGTATTGAGTGGAGTCGAACATGACTTTTTTATTTACAACTATTTAACATAATTTTAAATTTATCCGACTTTTCGGGTGCTTTACAGCGTGAGTGGTCACGGTGACTGAAGACAAAAGGTGTTGGATGTTAAATAGTTGTAAATTTATAATAATACATAACATTAATCCGGTTAAAAAGTTTTTTCTTTAAATTAAAAAAAAATGTTAAATTGGCTACCTCCTGACCCACACTTTATATAGCGTAAATATATTTGTCAAAAACTACACACAAAAAAGTTCAAGAGTACATAAATTTTTTTATAAAAAAACACAAATAAATAACATCGACTCCACTTATAGACGCGAGACTATTTGAAATGAGTGCACAATTTAGAATGTTGCGCTCATTTTTTTGAGGACGTTTTTTAGACGTTGATTGTGCATCTTGGGTTTTTGTATATCAATGGGCATTTTGTACAATTTATGTTTTTAAATTACTTGCATGTCCGATTGACAAAACCTAGTTGTTTATATGCTTTGCCTGTTATGTCATCTATGTTCTGGATAGGCCTATATTTGAAGTGAAAACTTCTTTAGCGGCGTTGTACACTTTTTTTCGAAGGGGTAAAAAATGTTAAACTCGCGTCAGGACAAATTCGTAAGATGGATGTTTTTTAAAGGATTATGAACCTTCGTAATATATGGTTACGGTTTCAATTCATTTGTCTCTTTCCTCAGATACATTGATGCATGTGGAATTGGACCTTTATTCAATACATCAAGGTTTAATTTTGCGAAACGTCTAAAGCTTTATTAATAACGATTTGGTCAGACTTACGCGAATAAAAAATGGCAACTTAAAAAATAGTGAATTTTCCTAATTGAATTATTTAATACTAATTTTAATTATTTTGTGTAGGTTTTGTAAGACGGATGGAGAGTAGACAGCTGGCGCGGCGTATTTAATGTAATATAAATTGTCATGTGTGCGATAGCGCAATAAATAAATATTGTATTCTACCACATAAATTGATAGTACTGTTATACTGATAATTAAAGCAAATTAAATTCGTGCAAAATTATTCCCTAACCATTCCAAAATATCAAAAATGTACAACGTTAATATTCAAGTTTTCACTTCTGCCAGCACTCTCGGAGTGTAACCCGTCGTTTTTTTGTCATATTCCAAGGTCTCTTACTAGTTTTACTTGTGTTATTGGGGTGTTATCGATTTTGTAAATGTATTGTATTGTTTTACGCGAAAAGGTTATCTTGTTACACTTGTATATATTTCCAGCCTATTGAGATCTTGTTAAATTTGATTTCTTAATTTCTGTCATCCGCGAACATAAGATGCTAATGAAAGTGAAAAGAGTATTTTATATCTTATAAATAAGAATTGAATAATAATGGCAGTGTGGCGTGACCCTTGGGGTACTCCTGAATCCTGATGTAATATGTTGCTCTCGTTACGCCACGATAATTTATTGGTCACATTTTGGGCTAGCGAAATAAGCACAAATCCAGAATTCGTCAATAAATAAAAAAACAACTTTTAAGTCACGCTTTTTATTTTTAAATATTTTACACAATACTTTCTTAAGTATATTTCTAGATGTAATGTTTAAATGTTAATATCAAAAGTATTGAAATAACAGAATATAATTCAAGAAAGTGTCTAAAATTAAAATACATATATATCATTAATGATTTTTTTTAAAAACTGGGACATCCTAATTTTTATGGAACTAAAATTAAGTAGACAATAAATGTTTCTGTTCGAAAACACAAAAATAAGTACATTATCGAAAATGTATGGTGCCAGAGTAGATATGGCGCCAAAAGCTTTTTATACCATCATTTTATTTAAAAAAAAACTACAATTAAGTGATTATCAATAAACAAAAGTACACTCGTTAAATAAGTAATACACACAAAACTTAAAAAATGCCCTTCGCGCGTCAATACACAAATTAATTAAACAATTAAAAGTTAATTACCTATACATATAAAAATATGTAAAAATAAGCCTGCTAAATAATCTTACTCACTAAGAATTTTACTCTTTACCAAAGTAAGTTTTCAAAACAGCTAGTTTGTTTTTTAAAACATCTTGGCGGTAATATAATTGTCTTCGTTTTAGGTAGATTTAATATAATATAAAAATACTAATACAAAAATAAACGGCTCTAATGAGCGATTATTATTTTTACATTGGGATCGGGTTCTCCGGCAGCATCCTTAGCAAGAGGTGCGTCTCCAACAATCCTAAAGTTTTTTGTGTATGGTATTACAGCTACCAATAGACCGGAAACAACGACCCAAATTCCCGCCACGTAGAAAGCTGCATCCCAATATCCGGTCCTGTCACGAAGAGCGCCTATAAAATTCGAAAACCAATAAATATCTCATTTTAACTACAAATACTTTTTAAAAGTTGTAGAAGACATTTAAAGTGTGTGCTATTTGTGTCACTTCGTATTTAAATGATAAAAGGGGCTATATTGTATGTACCTGTGTACAGTTGCTAGGCGGCTTTTCTCAAGCAAAATATTTCAAAACTTACCAGCCATAGGTGGTCCGATCAAATGGCCTACGCCTTGACTAAGAAGTACCAAGCCATATGCCATTGTGAATCTTTCCAACGCAATCAGCTCCACCAAAATGCTCGGCGTATAGGAATACGAACTTGAGAAGGTGAGACCAAAGATAAAAGCGTTCAAAGTGAGAATATAGAAGCTATATGTCTCCTTTGGATCCATCAGGCGAATAAGAACTGGAAAGAGAACGATTGTACCGCCACACAGTACGAGGCAAACCCCGTATGTTTTGGTGATATTCACCCATGGCAGATCACCCATCCAGCCAAGCCCAACCTGAAAAAGATTTAAAAATCCATAGATAACCTTAAAATTGTTTTTTTTATTTATATATAATAAGTTTCTACTCTCGGATAAACATTTGTGTCGAAATTGTAATCAATTCCATACCGGTAATCAGTTGCAATAGTTATAATACATAGAAAAGCAATATAGTTCTTTTTCTAGGGTTGTTAGTAGCATTTAGATATACTCTCGGAAAAAAGTTCAAGTCATTTATTTGTTCGTCCTTGACACTTAGGTAATCATATAAAAGAATGCTAATAGCGTGTAAATAGTCTATGTAAACAATTATATACTCATTACAGATAAGAGTTACACGAGAGTACAAAGAGTTACTTAAAGGCTTGTTTTCATACAGATATTATATACAAGTTTATCAAAGAATATTTTGTAAGCGCTTAGAGATATATACAAGTTGTTTATAGCTTCTTAATACATTGTACCTTAATCTGTGGTTAAAAAATACAGAAAACATTTCTAGTGGAGATAGAAAACCGCATTGTGATTAATATCGGTTTATTATTAGTTTATATTAACATGAAATTGTGTTTATAGCAGCAGTGTTGGCCTAATGGTTTGAGCTACGCCTCTCATCTCATCGGTCGTAGGTTTTCTTACTATGTGCGCAAAAAAACCGTCGCTCGTATGAATCGTGACGGCGAGTATCAGACACAGAAGGCTGAATCCAAGAAGGTTGTATATTTTTTATTAATGTGTTTTTTTTTAAATAAAGTCAACGTGACGTTTCAAGGATACTTACAATTCCAATAATGGTAGCTACTCCGAAAGTACTGAGCATCAAAGCACCTTGCGTCTCAGTATAACCGCTCTCTTCCATGAAAGTCGAAATGTAGAAGTAAGGTACGATGAACCAAATGAATAGAACCAAAGTAGACAGATTCATCATAAGAAAATGAAATTCCGTGAACATGTTGAAGTCGAACGTTTTGTTGATAATGTCCAAGAAACGCCTTCCCCATGTCTGGAATAAACAAATAGATTCTCTCAACACTCTTCAAATTAACACATTTTATTAGTTTTCTAATGTTTTTTTTTTTAATAATTGTTAACAACTATCGCATTGGAAATAACTGTGAAGGATAGTTGAACAGTTGGTAAAAAAATTACCGGCTAGTTATTAAACGGAATTCGAAGGGAATACAGTTGTGGCAATTCCTTTAATTATATATTGGACTAGCAGACCGGCCAAGCGTTGCTGTGGCAAAGGTTTTTGTTATATTACATAGTAGTAACGAAACGGTAGGAAAACACCAGTCATGGCGACCACCATGCTTTTTTGGTGGTTATGCCATTAAATTGTAGCTTTTGTGAAACGTTGGTACTTTCAACACAGCGCCATCTGTTAGCTGTGACTATCAAATAATAAACAAACATTTTGATATAAAATAATATTGCGGGTGTAAATTGAGATGAAAGCTATTCTATCTTTTAAGTTAGATCAAACTGCACACGGTGTGCAAATTTGATTGAAACGGTTCCGTAGTTTAGGAGTCCATAGCGGACAAACAACATGACACGTTATTTATATATATATTAAGATAGCGTAAATAATTAAATTTGTAAAATATAAACTCTTTGGTCGATTTAAAACAAAAAAATGACACTGTATCTACATTTTGCATCAGCGCCGTTTACCTTATCTTCCTCCTCCTTCACTGACCACATTGAGTTTTTATAAATATCTGGGCAGGAAGATGCCCTCAATTTATATTTAGCTATGTTCATCATAGCACCTCTGTGCATAATGGAGTTACGATGTACTCTAATACCCCTTAAATAGTTGTGATCGGCTTGAATATTCCTGGTAAACCAATCCTGACGAGCTTTTGGAGTGATGACGTTATTTTCAGGTATTGGTTGGAGCAATTTATTTTTAACATTTTCGATTTTCTTGTCAAATGCTTTCTTTTCCTTTTTGCTTATTTTTGTTTTTCCATCTTTCTTTGGAGACTCGATTGGTAATTTAGTCTCTGAGGATGTTCTCAGAGCAAGTAGTGAAGGATAGTTTTGCAAAACAATACTGTATAGGCGTTCATTAGACTTCAGTTGCTCCAATACTTCAATTGGTACCTGAAAGTAAAATAAAATTAGTATTAAGAAAGTACATTTTTAAACTGTCGTCATAATTCATTTGGCTCAGTGGCTTCATCGTGCGACTTGATAGTCGTAGGTTCGATCGTAGGTTCGATCCCCGGCTGTGCACCAAGGGATTTTCTATTTATGTGCGCATTTAACATTAGCGCGAACGGTGAAGGAAAACATCGTGAGGAAACCCAAAAATTGGACGGCATGTGTTAAGCACAGGAGTTTGATCACGTACTTGCCAATTATATTGACAAGTGATCATGAATCAGATACAGAAATCTGAGACCTAAAAAGGTACATACTTCAGCACCTATGACAACGTTGGAATTACATACGTAAAAAGCATACCCTTTCATTTTGTCGCAAGAATGTAGGCAAATTAATGACGGAACTGCCTTTTTGAAGTTGCGACGAGTCAGCATTTCTTTTTGTAGCCTCTTCCACATTTTCTGCTTCTGCTATAGACGAAACTAAGGCCATAAGAATGTCTTCGGGTGTATCACCACTATTCATTAATGACTTCAACTCTTCAACTCCAGGGTATATAGACTCTCCGCCACATGATTTCGCAGACCTTGCTGATATCGAAGTATAACTGCACGCTCTTTTAGCTTTACTAAGTCTCCTTTGTTTTTTTTGTTCTATGATAAGCCACTCTGGGTCTCTCATTACTGCTCCACAAACGCACACATTAAGTACTGTGCCAGCCAAAAGAAGCAAAGTTCCTCTCCAACCGTACTCATCCAACAAATATGTCGTCAGGGGTGAGTACACAAATGTACCAAATCCCACACCGCATGATCCTAATCCTACTGCAAGGTTACGTCGTTTTTCAAACCAGTATGCTATAGATACCACGGCAGTTACATACAGTAACCCCATTCCTAATCCAGCAATTATACCATACGTTACGTACAACGCTTCAACAGTGTTACTGTAGGAAGCAGCAACAAATCCAACAGTGGAAAAAACTCCACCAACCATAGTCATCCTCTTACAGCCGTATCGATCGACGAGAGCGCTCATTATAGGTCCAGCTATCAATGGAACCGATATAAAAAGACTGCCAATCAATGAAGTCTTTGCTTCGCTTGTTTCGAAGAAGTCCACAAATTTAATCTGCAGTAAACCGTAAGAAAAAGCAGAGCCATCAGCCACCGTGGCGATAAGAAAAGAGGCGGCTACGACCACCCAGCCCCATCCCCCGTCCGGTATCTGTGGTTCTTGTTCAATGTCTTTGCTAGAACATATACTATCTGCATCACCAATGCCCAAGAATGTAACTCTTTCATTGGTTGATTTTGCATCGTCATCGTCTTTGTTATACGCAACACTTAGTGTATCCTTTTTTTCGTCCGTTTTCATCGCATTCACTGTATTTAGGTCGTTGTTGTCCGAGTTTCTGACATCACACTTGCTGTCATGAACGGAATCGATGTACTTGATGTCATTCTTGATTAACAGCGGAGACGTAGTCTTCTCCTCTTCAGACGGTACGCTTTGTTCATGTTTAACATTATCTTTACCTGGTATTCCATTTGCGTACTTTCTTTCCGTTTCCATTCCACGCGTTTTAAGTACGGTTTTAAGTACGTACTTGGAACCGTGTGATCTTCGTATAGAAGAGTTAAGTCGCCTTCAATGAGCGAGTTAAGTTTGTCTACGTTGAAGACACGATTAGTTCTCTTGACCAATGTCTTAATCTCGGATCTCTAGCGGAATACCGGCAGGGGCTCTTCGATATACAAAGAGTGAGAGTGCTGGGTTTGTTACTTGTCGAGTTCATCAAGGACCGGCTAGTCCTCGATATCAATTTCTTAAAAAATACACTTTCAAAATTGTGGCGCGTTTGTCTAATAAACGTCTTCTCTTTTTTTGACATTAAAGTCTTTCTGCTTCAAACATTTCAGTGCAGAAACAATCTGAAACAAATAAGAAGAATTTAGATTGAGAAACATTTATTTTAAGCTAACATCAAAATATTATTTCGTATACTTTTACTAGCGTTTGAATGTTACAGTTTTTCACAAAAATCCCGTAAAATACGTAAAATCTTTTAATACATGCAAAAATTATTACATTGAATACAAATCACTAGACAACAACAGGTGACCTAATTATCGTAATAATACCTATTATGACATTATAATATTTTTTAGCCGTGCTATACCTTTATCAGACGTATCAAACGTAATGCCTATTACTCATTGTATGATCTAATTTTAAAATACTAAGGTCAATGACCCAAGATAACGCGTATAGAAACTTACGAAGTATATTATAGATCCCTTATCTATTGTATTATTTTATATCGTATTTTTTGAATTTATCTAAATCAAGATTAATTTTTGACATATATAAATAAGATATACGGGTAAAATTATAAACATACTAGTGGACCCCACAGACGTTGTCCTGCATGATATTTAAAGCGATTAGGATATTAAGCAAAGTATGAAAGTACCGACTGCAGTGCCATCTGCCGGGCTGATTTGTGAATCTAAACCATTCCCAGATCCCTTTGAACACACACAAAAAATTTCATCAAAATCGGTCCAGTCGTTTGAGAGAAGTTCAGTCACATACACACGCACACAAGAAATATATATATTAAGATAGAGTGTTGTGTTAATGTCTTACTAACAAGGCCGTGATTAACTAACCAATTGAATGATTCTGCATGGTTAGACAGATCGTCACTGAACTCTAATTAACTTGAATAAATTGAACTAAAAATAAAACATTCTACTTTAGCCTTATTATTGAATGCGTCAGTTGAATGATTACATCATTATATCATATGCAAAGCTCGTAGACGTTCTCCTAAATAAATTCTACTTTTAAGTCGGCTCACAGATTTGTTATTTATAGCCCTTGTGTTGGGATTCGGCAGTAAATATCAATTTCGTTATTTTTTACGTTCATAAGTGTCATTACCTATATAAATAAATATCATTCGGCTATATTTATGTACTAAGTAACTAATATATACAACTTTATTTACTTTGACGCCAAATGCTTACAAAGATTTGACTTCTTTTGACCCCGCTTTTGTATGTCCACAACATTTTAAATGACATTAAAGGGAGATGACAATATGTCATCTAACCCTTTTTCTCTCATAAAATAAATTATATTACTACAATGTTCAATGCATAACATCGAATACAATGTTCATGTTCATCGAATACAATGTATTTTTGGTTATCTTTTGAAGACTAGCAACACAGACTTATCATTTGCAGTGCACTATAGTAATACTTTTCTTGCTATTATTAAGACCCGTCAGAATTATATACATACTAACAGGTAAGTACTAACCGTGTGACCTTGTTCATTATCAATTAAATTTTTAGTAATATTCAGGTACAAATTCCAAACATTCTTAACATACATTTATATTAATAATTAAATCTCTATTGACTACATCACAAATATAATTAAATAGATGTTAGCGGAACAACTGAAACTGACCTTATTTTATAATTGCATATTTTTGGATAGATACAATTTTATTTAATAATATTAGAAACCATAAAAAGTGCTACTAAATCATGGCCGCAGTGAGGTTAATGAACCTGTATGCCTTCTCCGGACAGAATTTCATAAAAATCGTCGCCTTAAATTAACGCGGACGAAACGGATTTTACATTATAAAATACAGAAAGTAATACAGTATACTAAATAGCGCATCTCCTTATTAACATTTCTAGATCATTCTAGAGTTCGAGACGCATAGATTTTGACAGAACAAAGAGAATAGAACACCTAGTTTTAAATGAAACATTTTAAATGTATTTTATTAATAATCCTAGTTTTTATTTATATTTAACTTATTTATCAATATCACAGTTTAACATTAATTCGATTGAATATAAAAAAACTAAATCTTCCCATAAATAGTGGACAATGCTATTCTTGTGAATTCAGCCAATGTTAAACTGAATATGTCAATATTTATCGTAACATTATTATCCGATTATCGCAATAATAGTGCGCACCCGTATTGTTATAATTCAATCAGATCAATCAGATTGCATTTCTATAAAAAAATTATAATATCAGTAAATAAATTCAATCGGCTAAATTTCCGTCAGTTCTTCCCTTATAATTTCTATAATGAGCTAATTATAGCCGACAATTAGTAATTTCATTAAATTTAAGGAATTTTTAAATTAAATAATAGTATTTGTAACAAAAAATAATAGGTACGTACTAAATATTATATGATATTCAAAACGCCTCAGTTAAAAATATTTTAACAATAACCAATCTTTATAATCAGCTAAGTGGTAAAAGGTAAGCAAATTAACAAATAGTATTGCTCTCCTGTCGTTCGGCTGCTGTCAAAGCAATAAGCTAATACGAAACGAGCCATCACAAGTCACAACTCCATGCTATTCATAAAAATATAATCAGTCTAACTGCACCGTCTATCAACTCATCTGTCTCTTATTATCACAGCGTAAACCCAACAGGCAGAAAGAGACGACGATGCCTACGCAGATTAAGTTCAGTTTAGTCTAGTTTCCAAATGGTTCGATAGAGAGACGTAACTCTGGGACTTACAATACCTTTCCTAATAATAAGTAGATATCTATGGTTTTAGAACCTCAACAATCAACGGTATGGTTATTGAGAGAACTACATAGAACTTGCATACAAAAACGGGATTGCTATTGGAAGTTACAAAGTAAGGGTGCTGTGCTTCTCTGCAGCATCACTGCTAATACAATTTAATTTAAGAGAATTTATCGCACCATTATTGATATCGCATGACTATTGTAAGATATGTAATCACTCTGAGGACGACGCGTATCTCATTAATTAATACATATTTTAATCAATACAGTCTCCGGAACTTAATAAATTCTTTATCATGGCCTTGGAAGCGCCGAAACATAGCATTGACGATGTTTTTCGTACATTTGGATATATGTAAATAATTATACACAACCTATATACATATATAACTACTGTCTAGTCAGTTAACATATGCACAGAAAATGTATAAATATTTACACTGTGATTCAGTTAATTTTAGATATGGTCACCCCATGTGTCATCACGTGACGTGCCTAGTTCATAAACAACTGAAGTCTGTTCCTATACGAACGCCAAAAATAAAAAGTAAAAACGAACAAAACATTCCTATATAACTACTTAGTGTTATCTATAGTATCGACTACTGATATCAGTATTTTTATAGTCTATAATTTATATTACATACCAATATAATCACAGATTGGAATTTTAAAGTGATTTATGCGATTTCAGAACAAGTTATACGATGAGTGCAGTCAGTCCCTTGGATATTCGCAACAGTTATCGCTCACAGTTGTCCGATTACTGAACCAGCGAGCGTTCAATTAAATATAAGTATGCGTAGATGACGTCACTCATTGGCTAAGGCACCGATAAACACAACTATAGAAGCTAAAGTCAGTACTGACTACGCACGTAAACCCACGCGTTTGCGAAAGGCATATCAAATGAGAGAATGCGAGATGAGAGGAAAAGAAAGAGAAAGAAACCTTCATTTAGAATTTACGGTTTTTGTCTTGTTATTGCGAATTTTGAATTTGGAATGTAAAATTACTGAAATTTATTTTAATTACTCAAATAATATTTAACCAAATAAAATATATTTAATCATATTTGTAACACTTATGAATGTAAATACTTAAAAAAAGAAGATCTTATTTCACTACCGGTTCCCAAATCAAGGGCGAAGAGCGAGAAGAACTAGCAAAAATTATCCGTCACTGTTTTTAATCGCCAAGTTTGTACAAGGAAATGCTTACTGCAACTATTACGCCAAGCTTCATTTGACATTGAAATAAAATGTCATTATAAAGTAACAAATGCTTAGCATTAGCGGGAAAATTTTAATGCAATATGATAATACTAAAACAAACAATACCATTATTTATTATTTAATTATATTTACAATCAATCAAACACAACACAGGGACGAAACTTTTTAAATTTGTTTTTATTTTCTTTTTAATATTTTTTATTATTACTTTGTAGGTTAAGAAAATTGTATACTTGTGATTGTAAATTAAAAACCTATAACAATTATTTATTTATAAAAACTATAGTTCGTAGAATTTTTGGCCCTATTTGCGACGCTGATAACTCCTTTGGTGACGTCAGGATCGTCCAAAATGCAACAGGCTTAAGTGCTTGGGACATGTGCACCGAATGGCGGATGACAGAACCCCAAGATGTTTACTGAACTCACAACCCAAGCAAAAGAATACTCGGTAGGCCGAGGCTGCGTTGGTGGGATGAACTTGTCAAGAACCTCGAAACAATAGGTGTTCGAAGTTGGACGCAACAAGCAAGAGATAGATTGTGATGGATACTTCCGGAAGCCGTTGATGATGATGAATAAAAACAAATGATAAAAATTTAGATGCACGCCTATTATTAAAGGTTAGAATTTGGATGGCTCGTATCAACAGGAGAGACTTTGCCGAAGCACATGCCTGGCTCCCGAAGGTGGGTCCTTGACCTGCCTTGCTGGGGCTAAGCTTCTGAAAAGGTGGGAGCTTGTA